CCCCCCCACACACACACCCCCTCACACACCCCCCCTCCGGCCGGCGGCGAAGGCTGAATGCTTCTGGGTTTTGAGGTGCGTCACTTCACGTGCTTTTTTTGGAGTTTGAACCTTTCTAGCGATGGTGGTCTGGAGCGGCTGTGGTGGTTTTAACGTGCCAGCAGTCGTGCGGCCTGATACAAAGGTGAATGAAATGTAGTTGCTCAGCGCCCTTTAAAGGGAAGAGTTGCCTTAAGCTGATCAGAGTGGTCTTGTTTCCTTCGTGTATCAATGCTTAGTGGAAACTAAAAAAAAAAAACCAGACCAAACCAAACCCACGCAACCCCTCCCCCCCCAAGAAACAAACCCTGTACTTTTTCTAAAAAAAAAAACCAAACCACAAAAAAACCCCTTTCTGACATTACTGAAAGAACATAATGTATAGACTTTTAAGAAGGTTTGTATTCGTGAGCCTCGGGGAAAATGTGATTTAATTAATTTTAAAAATTTAAAAGTAGAAGGGATAACTTGGAAAATTAATACAAAATGAGTACGAATTTGCAGTGTGAAATGCAGATATATTCTCTTACCTACGTTTAGGTTGGGCAGTAGAAACAATCTAGTTGGTTTGAGTCCTGGGGCAAATGTTCCAGGCAAAGGGGCATTACAACAAGCTTTGCTTCTTAGCTCACTTTCAAACACTGTGGTTCTCCAACCCTGCAATACCTTGCGGACGCTGAGCTAGAGTACACGCTGAAATCAACCAAGAAGTGTCTTTTTAGGAGGTGTAGAGTGTGGTGAAGTACCATAATAACGAGCTGTTGTCTGTGATGCAAGCTTCCTGTAACCAGGCAAATATATGGTATTTATCAGTCAACATAAGAAATTATAGGTGAAATGAGAAAAAACTAACTATCTAGGATGCTGGTTAATGGGTCTTGCTCTACCTGCGTGCCGATGACAAGTCCAGTACTGCCAGGGTATATTCTGAGACTTGTCCTTTTTAATGGCTCTATCCATGATGTGGCTCAGGTCATTGAACCTCTCTTCAGGTTTGCAGATAGCACCTAAGATTGTGTTATTGAAGATGTTTGTAAGTCATGTGCTCTGTCTGCTCATGCTAATGTATTTAATAATGGTTCTAACTTTGTAAGTCTCAGTGCCAGCCATCAAAATATACTTTAATGACAGACTGTGCGAATTTACTTAGTGATACGCATTGTTACAGTGATTCAGGCTTTGGGCGTGCTACGCAGTGCTAGTCAAGTTGAGCTCAAGCAGTCACTGATAAAAGGTGATCTTGCTCTAATACATCTTTTGTAAGGGTCTGCTCTGGCATTATGTGCTGTGCCAGGTGGTAGTAGTGAAAGAACTACTGGTGAATGTGGTAAGCTTAACAAAAGGTAAAAAATCAAAAGGAGTAAGTAGGAGATCCTTATACTGTTGAGGATGGGCAGAGTCCTTTGCCCTCCTCTTACAAAACATTTTTCGCTTACATTTTTCTCTTTTTCCTTTTTTTTTTCACATTTCTTTCTTTTCACTACATTTCTTAAGTTATACATAAAGGCAGTCTGTAGGTAGGTTTAGATCTACCATAGCTTCTTCCACATTGTCATTGAGAGTTAAAATACTGTAAGTTTTCCAAATACACTCTCTCTGCACAAGTAAAAAGTATTTTTAGGTGACTGAAATTACAGACCACTTTGAATTTAAAATACTGGTATGAAGTACTTTTCTTGTTAAACAGATAAAGTTTAATATATTTAAACATTAATTATTCCTTTAATATATATATCTTCAGAATTGTCATATCTGGAGGGGGAGAGAAAATTGCATTTTCATAGTTTTGACTCCTCTGTGAGGCAATCCTTTATCTTTCAGTTTATGTGTTTTTGTAATTTTGTACATACTGGATGCATTGTAGAGATTACAACATACTACTTAAGCCATGGAAAATTTTCTTTTGATCTTGTCTTGAAATGGAAGTAATTTATTTTTTAAAAAAATTTGACTGTTATTAAGACAGTTTGCCATCATCTTTGTAAAAGTGATCAGTTATTAAAACTTTTCCTGCCTTGTTTTCAGGATTTATTTGGTGTGAGCATGGTTGTTCCCTTAATGAACCTTCATATCAAATCTCTAGGAGCAAGTCATACAGTTGCTGGAATAATAGGTGAGTGGCAGTACTTGAATGATTTACCAAAGAGCAAGATAATGTGAACTGGATTATGCCTTACTGCAAATTGGACAGTGTAACATAATTCTTCCCTGCTAGTAGCATAATAAAAAGTAATGCCAAATTCCAAGTAAAACTGTAAGGGCAGCCATACTGTGTTAGACCCAAAGACCTGTCCAAACTTGCATACTGAGAGTAGCCAAAAGCAGGTGCTTGGGAAAGAGCATCCTTCAAAAGAACAAGGAAGTCTTGTGGTAATACTTGTACAGATGCTTTTCCAACATCCAAGAATTTGCAGCGCAGCACCTTTGGGAGCTGGAGATGTTGCTTTTACTTTTATTGTTATTTACAGGCTTTGCAAACAGTACTTCTGCAGCTGGTTCTCCTGAACTTTCCAAAGCCTGTGATTGCTCCTATTTTGATCAAATTCTTTGCAGCTGTCTTTTTGGCAAAATATTTATTGTCTTTAAGGAGTATTTACAAGTAAATTCCGAAAGTTTGGAATTTTATCTTAAAAATAAAGTGGTAAGATGAGGTTCCATTGTTCTAAAGTTCTTATTTATATCTTATGGTACTGTTTATGGTTTGTAATGATAAAACTGATATTCTGTGTAGCTATGTGTGGCTGATGTAGGCTCTGTTATTAATTTTTTTTATTGCCTTCCTTTTTTATTTTGGATGAAATTTAGCACTTTTCATTAAATAATTCCCGTTCTGCTCTTAGTATTGTCAGAGTATTATTTTAAGCATCAATTCATCAAAAAATGTTCTTATTTCAACAGTCTGCTTTGATTTTTAGCTTTACAAGAAACTGGATTTTGAGGTGTATTCTTATAAATGAAAGAGGCTCACACATGTTTCTTGCTGGTACCTTGTAATAGGTTGAAGTGCGAAGTGGAAAGTATTTAATGCCTCTCAGTAATGAAATTCTCTCCTGATTATGAGAAGGCAATTATAAATGCCAAGATCTGTTTCGTTTAATACACCATACAAAGCAACATCATTACATAGTTGTACACGTTTTCAGCAGAAACTATTTCCTTGGTTATGTACTGAACTCCACCCTTTGTCTTGCTCGCTCTTCCTGTTCTTCTAGTAAGTTATTCCCAGAGTTTCTCTCATGTTTTGTCATTTAAAAATTTTCTGCAGTTTTCTTTTTTTTTTTTTAGAAAAAATCAGTTTAATTTTTAACATTGGTATTTTACTTGTGTGTTTTAGGATCTCTGTATGGTATAATGCAACTATTTTCCAGCACATTTGTGGTGAGTTCTAACACTGCATTCCTAAGCATATTGGTATTTCTATGGATTTTAGGGGAAAAAAAGGATGAGGTTAATAATAGGGTTTCTTGAAATGTTTATAGTGTTCATATAAGCATTTTTGGTTGGTGGAGCCAGTTTCAGTGTGTGTGGAAAGTGTTTGTTTCATTTATAAGGAATTATCAATTTTTTCAGAACAGAATACAGTCTTTAGACAAAAACTAGAATCTAGATTTGTGCTCAGTAATAAGTTACTGAGCACATCTCACAGAGACTCTCACAGAGGGTTCTCTTCAGCGTTGGTGCTTGTAAAGCAGTTTTCTTCAATGTAGTAGCCTGTCCAAAAAGCAGTCTCACAAGTCAACTCTTCATAAGCCTGTTATCTAGAGTTTGCTTTCCTGCTTAATGAGTAGTGCCCCGTAATTTGCGGTATGGCCTAAATTCATGTATTATGCTTTTGAGCTTTGTTTGCTTTTGTTTTCTATTAGCTTTTGATTTTTCACATCCTAATCTAAGCAAGAGTGCAAAGACTAAACATCAAGGCTGAACCTCTTGAATGTATGCTTTACCTACCTTAGATCCCTATATGTAGCCAGGAGCACCTTTAATATTACCCTGGTACCTCCTAGCTTTCAAGAGAGCAGATTTTGAGCATCTCATGGAAAAAAACTCTTTCAGGGTTTGTTACACAAGCCATCTGGGATAATTAGCTTCTATAATCTCGTGGCATTTTATTTGAACTGCAAGACTATTGCCTTCCTTCATAAAAAACTTGCTGTTTGGAATCCAGCTGATTTATAAGTATGCTACATGCACGTTTACTGTTTGCCTTTCTTATAAATACTTCCTATTTGTCTGCATTCAGATGGCTAAGATTGTTCCTTTTAGGATGCTCAGCAAGTGTCTAGTACATAGCGACCACTGTTGCAAAGAAATATTTGTGGTTGGTTGTGATAACAATTTGCAGAGGGCCCTACTACTAGTATTTCATTGTGTTTATTGCAGGATTGTATTTTTAAGAGAGAGACATTATTTTTAAAAAAGCTGTATGCATGACATGAAATAGAATGATAGTTTCAGCAGGTGCACTGCCAGCAGAGCAGAACTCAGCTCATCACTTCCAGATTTTGAGCATTTAGGAATGTTGTGTAACAAGCTTATTAAGATTTCATTGGCAGTCCTTTGATCTCTTTTCTCAATTTAATTTAAAAGTACTGATTGCTCACTGTACATAGTTAAATGTTAATGCTAATCTTAATTTCCTGCTTTATGAAAGGGCTGCTGGAGTGATATAGTAGGAAGACGGTATTCCCTGCTTGCTTGTATTCTTCTCAGTGCACTGGGGTATTTCCTTCTTGGAACATCCACCACTGTGTTCCTGTTTGCCATTTCTAGAGTTCCTGTAGGTGAGTAAATGCTTGGCATTTTGTAGTTTAAATTTCCTGTAGTCTCAGCTTCAAAATTGTTACCATAGAAATTGTGTTATGTGGATGGCTACATAGCATCGTCATCCACCAGCACCAACTGAACCCTGGTAATGGAAAAATCTCTACAAATCACACCTTCTCATGACTTCTTTTCTGAAAATAATTTGAAATGAATACTCAAAAACTGTCACAACTTTTATGTTGCCTTGAGTGGCTGAATTTTATGAGAAAAGGAGTGCAGCAGTTCCTTGGAAGAGGCTATTGTAAAGTTAGTCATAACAGGTAAACAATACACCAGACCGCTGTTGGAAATTGTGTCCTGCGCTTGCAATGCGAAATGGAATGATATGTGCATTATTGTTTTTTCTCATGCTGAAAATATACCTCAAAGTGATACTAGAAAATTTGGCTGAAATTTTAGGTCACTGTTTTAACAGAATATTTATGTTGTGGAAAAGCATGTACGTTTGCAGCACTGGAGCCAAGTTTGTGCCAGGGTTTGTATCAGAGTTCTTTCAATAGCTGAACACCTTTTGCATGTATTGTTATATAATAAGCACTGCTATTACTGTGAGCACATCTACTAAAGGACACTTTCATGGTCCATAGTCTTGATTTCGGAACGATTTATATTGTTTCTTAATTTAAGGACAATTTGCTAATAAATTCTTTGGTTGATATTTGACTGCTTAGTAGAGGTAACACTTCTTAATACTAACAACACTGTGACAGCATTACCCTGGTTAGAGGGAAGGAGCATAAAAGATTGCATTATTAGTATTCCTGCAGTATTCTTACCCTTCTGTGCTCCTCTTTTGCCACCCACCAGTGTCCTATATGAATTCGGTATGTTACAATCCTGGACATCTCCATACTCAGCAAAGTTGGTACAGAGCTATGTTCATAAACAGACAAGCCATTCCTACTCCACCATTACACACCCACAAGTTCCTATTTTAGCGGCTGTTTTATTCCTAGTGTGCTCCAGCACTCGGCTAAGTTACTTCTTCTTTCAGCAGGGCTGCAGGGACACTCCTTCAACACAGATGCGTGAATAATTTTGATTCCTAACTCCATATCCTTGAACAGCCAGGATGATGGGCATGGCCCAACACGCTGCATGACTCTGGCATTGAAGAATTTGTGGTTTATGGAATCTTAAAAATAGATTGGGGTGCATCAAGAAGAGTGTGGCCAGCAGGTCAAGGGAGGTCATCCTCCCCCTCTACTCTGCCCTGGTGAGGCCACATCTGGAGTATTGTGTCCAGTTCTGGGCTCCCCGGTTCAGGACGGACAGGGATCTGCTGGAGAGGGTCCAGCAAAGAGCTACTAAGATGATTAGGGCATTGGAGCATCTTTCTTATGATGAAAGGCTGAGGGACTTTAGTCTAGAGAAAAGATGACTTGCGGGGGGGGGAGGATCTTATTGATACTTATAAATACTTAAAGGGAGGGTGCCAGGAAGATGAGAACAGTCTTTTTTCAGTGGCGCCCAGTGATAGAACAAGAGGTAACGGGCACAAACTTGAACATAGGAAGTTCCATCTTAACATGAGGAGGAAGTTCTTTACTTTGAGGGTGGCAGAGCACTGGCACAGGCTGCCCAGAGGGGCTGTAGAGTCTCCGACTCTGGAGACATTCAAAACCTGCCTGGACGCCGTCCTGTGCAACCTGTTGTGCTGTGGCAGGGGGGTTGGACTAGATGATCTCCAGAGGTCCCTTCCAACCCTGACCATTCTGTGATTCTGTGATTTTGAGCGTTGATATATCAGATAGCTTCTGTCATTTAAAATCTTTTGGAATGAGAGATACATGTCTTATTATTTTGTTTATATTATGTTGCAGGTATTTTCAAACACACGCTCTCCATCTCTAAAGCCCTGCTTTCTGACTTGGTTTCTGAGCGAGACCGCCCTTTAGTAATGGGACGCTTCAATGCAGCATCTAGCGTCGGCTTCATTCTGGGGCCTGTTGTTGGTGGCTACCTTACAGAGTTGGAAGATGGCTTTTATCAAACGGCTTTCATCTGTGCCTCTATCTTCCTTCTGAACGCTGGTAAGTTGTGTGTCATAGTTTGCATCTTGGGTCCCTTTATTCCCCACTTTTGTGTTTTTATGCCATTTGCAGTACCGTGAATTCGTGGTGTGTTTATCATCTATGGCATACATGTTCTGTATACCGACCCTACCCTTTAAATTTGAACCTTTGTGGAAGGGTGGAAATTTTGAAACAGTTAACCTCCAGATGCTTGCCCTTTGTATTGTATGTATCACTTTTGCATTCGGACGCAGGAATGGGAACTTTTAATATGCCCAAAGATGAAGACTAGAAATCAGAATTTTGGCTTTAGCCATTATATTTGTCTGTATGTTGTGAGTGGGACATCTTGGTGTGTTCCTTCCTTGCTTTCCCCGCATTTAAAATTGAATTGACACTGTGAAGAACAGTAGACTTAATCTTTGTAATTTTTTAAAGTGAAATGATTGTTGAAATACTTCTTAAATTTTGATCTTTACATCAAACAAAATGTTGCAGTCAGACTAATGTCTTCCATGTAAAGCTAATGCAATTGGACTAAATCAACTAATTTCTTATCTATGTAGGTCTTGTCTGGATGTTACCCTGGAGTGAAGAAAACACTGGCAATAGGGAACATCAACAAGGCAGCAAAGGAACGGACAGTTTCTCAGCAAAAGCAAATCATGACGTGCACTCGAAATCAGCAAGTAATGGAGCTGTGGCAAGCGATAGTCTTTTCCAGTCTCCGTGGGTCCAAGTTACAACAGTGCTGAAGAGGATTAAAGGAATTGCGTGTTCTGATCTGTGGGATATATTTTTAGTGCGGTTGCTGATGTCTGTTGCTATACTGCTGTACTACAGTAATTTTAGCCTGGCCTTGGATGAGAGATTTGGGGTAAAACCCTTGTTTGCTGGATACCTAATGAGCTATAGCAGTGCACTTGGAGTCCTGGCTGGTTGTCTGCTTGGACCGATAACAAGACTCTATCAGTACAACACTTACAGAATTTTGTTGCACTCCAGCACCCTTACTTGCACGTTGATTCTCCTGTATGCATCAGCGCTGAGCATATGGATGGTCATTTTGTCTTCCACGTTCTTAGCCTTTTCAACTACTATAGGTCGTACTTGTATCATGGATCTTGAATTGACCATTGGTGGGAATGAGGCCAGTGGTACGCTCCTAGGTGTTGGACAGTCTGTGACATCAGTGGGACGTATAGTTGCTCCGCTCCTTTCTGGAATTGCTCAGGAGTTCAGTCCTTCTGGCCCTCCAAGTCTAGGGGTTGGACTAGCCTTAATAGCTATTCTGATCATGAATGCGAACAAACAAAAATATTGTAGCCGTGGAAATGTTAAGTTAAAAAATCAATAGCTGCAAATTTGGATTGCATCGATGTATCTTACAGGAGAGGCAAAGTGAATCAACCTGGGGTGGTGCTTACACCTGCCAGACTTCTACAGTGATAACAGGATCTTTTGAGGGGGCACGCTATGTTCACTTGGACGCAAGTACATATAAATATTTCTGCTGCAGGGATGTTAATTCTAGAAAATGTTATTCGAACTGATAGCACTAGAATACTTGTGAGAGGGACAGCTGTTGCTGTATTGTACTGGCTGGGATTTTTGTATGGATTTTTCACCTTTTCAAAGGGAAAGAATGAATGACATGAAATACACAAATCCTGCTTGTAGCTCACATTTGAAACAGTGTTTAGATTGATAGATTGTTAAAAGACAGAAATTGATTATTTAATCAGAAGTGAATTTTTATTATTTAATCAGAAGGTGAATTTGCAATATGGCTCGTTAGCCTTAATTTCTTATGCTGTGGTCTGCTGCCATTTGCTGCTGTGACAGTAGCTTAATTAACAGGGTGTTTGCTTATGTGATTTTTGTTAAGCATTCTTTGTCTACAAAACTTGCTGCACAGCATGATTAGGCACCTTGGGGTAGTCATCCAACCCCTGCTTATTCCTGGTCTTTCCCAGGTAACAGAATTGGGTATATGCTAACTTCATGTATTAGAAGGCCTAAAATGGACAATTTTAGAATAATACAAGGTCATTCAGACTGAAAATGAGACTGAACGTAAGCTTTATTGAAACTTGAACTGGCGGTTGCTTTTTAGTAATAACTTCTATTGAGAAACTTTGTCATAAATTATTTGTCAGTATTTCCTGTGCAATTTTTCTACCTTCATTTTAAAAATAAACTTGTTTCTTAATTCTTTTGAATAACTGTTAAAGGTGTGCTGGAGCAACTAGCAGTAGTTCGTGGATCTGGATTAATGCATTCTCTCTCATCTTTGGAGGCGTAAGTGACATTTCAGTGACAAGAGAAAAACTGTTTATTTGTTGGTATTTATCTGTGCTGCTTAACTAATGAGAGGTTACTTAACTCTCAGAGCTATACTGAGAGTTGTAGCATTCTCCTGTGCTATTTACTGTTTGAGCTTATGTTACTTGCCCATCACCTTTTGCATTTCATTTGAAACATACAAAAAATGTATTTTGTGCTGATAATGTTCCATATGCTTTTCCTAGTTTTACTTGATGAAAGCACAAAGTCAACAATGTATAATTGCTGGGGATTATTTTTTTTTTATTAAAAAAAAATCAGTTATCTCCTTGAACATATCCGTGCAAATAGTGTTGCTGCTTCAGGAGAGTCATAGATGTTGTTTTGCATTTTTTACTTTTATTTTCTTTACCTTTCCCAGTGCCTGCTATCATTTAAATCCTTCTTGACACCTCAGTGATTCCAGTGGCAGCACCATGGGAATGTGTATAGAACTCTGAGTTGTTTTAATTTTATATATTGACATAATGAGTGTGTGTCATATTACTGCTATGATTTCAGTACATATCCTCAGAGTTCCTTATGGTAATAATCCGTGTTCCATTTCTCCGTAGGAACTTGAGGTACTTTCAAGTGTCTTATCTCCTCTTGTCTTGCTTGGTAGCTGCCCCAAAACATAGTTGCCCTAAATTTCCTGTTTTCTTTATTTCCATCTTTAAAAAAATATTTTTATGTTTTTTACTGAAAAACACCTTTTCGTAACTTTTTGCAACTATAGCAAAGCGTGAAGGAAAAGGGTAGAAAAAAACCCTCAAGAATTAATATATATGAAAGATATAGTAATTTTTCCTATACTTGTTGGTTATATGAGGTAACATAACATTTACCCTTCTAAGTTGCTGCACGGATTAAAGCTGAATTCTGTAAACACCATAAAATTCAGTTTATATTAACATATGCAGCTGCCTGAATATTGCTTACAAAAACTTCAAAACATCACTGGTTTTGTTTATACATAAGTGAAAAGTGTGCTTTCCACAGTCAGTGAATATTTTTGTTTTATTTTGAAAAATATTTCTCCATATAAGCTAAATAAATATGAAATTAAATAATCAAATTGAGAAATATGTGGAAGGCTGTGGTCTCAGGGACATGTTGCAACTGATGTTACAGAAGAAAAGTTTTTTACTTGAAGGCCAAAATGCGTTCTGAAGTGCTGCAGAGACATTTCTTCTTTGTAAAGCCTCATTTACAGAGAAGCAGAGAAGTTGCACTATTTATTTTCTTTTAAAGGGATAGAAGTAAAATGAAGTGACATTCCACATGTTTTTTCCCCTCGTCCTCTGCTGAAACTACAGCACAAAATAGAGGTGTTCAAGTCAATATGAAGTGCAGATGTTTTTGGTTTGCCTTTTTTTTTTTTTTCTTCAAGCTCTACCTTAAAATGATCATTTGCATCTGCGTACTTTTCACATAAAAGGCACAGGAGCCAAGGATTCAACAAGAAGTGTCTTGATAGTGAATGAGAAAGAAGAAATAAAAGAAAATAGAGAACTTACCAGTTTTGAGAGAGAGTGCTTAAAGCTACTGTTCCTACTGCCTGGAGACCATGTTTGTATCCCGTGTGTTGTCTCTTAGTTGCTGTAACTGTGCAAGCTCAGAGAGTGATGAGTAAATCCCATCCCTGGAGATGAGGAGATGTTATTCCCTCTTTTTTTAAGTTGGGGGAGGAGCAGTTGCAGCTAATTTTGGCTACAGGCTAGTGGGCTTTACTGAATTACTCAGCAGTTCCGTGAATCCAGTTGTGGTATGTGAAGACTGTAACAAAACAGATCTGAATATGGACTACAGAAAAAGTTTCTACCTGCAAATCACGGCAAATTAAAATTTTTCTCTTGCTTGCTGTTACTTTAGTTCTGGGTTGGTTTTCTTGGGCTTGTAGGCAGGGTTGGGGTTTTTTTTTGCTTTTTACATTTTGAAAATGTCGCTTTTTTAACAGTGACTACTTTTCTGACCTCTATGATCAGCTGACATTGAAGAGGCTGTGTACACAATGTAGTAATTTACGTCTGTAAAGCAGCTGGTAGCATATGATATGTACTAATTTTGTTGCTTTTAAATGATGAAGCAAATGTAAGATTTATTCCATGTTGGTGTACGCTGCGTACATACGAAAAGATCCTTTATAAACATACCAGTTCTGCAGATTGCTGTTTCTTGTCCTGTTTTCTTTTCTCCGAATTTACTCACTGCAGCACCACCACGGAGGTCAGGACCGTTCTCATTTTCTGAGAAGACGTTGATTATGCAGCAACAAAACAGAACAAGCATTGCTTACTAACAGGCTTGCTGGTTACCTCAAGTACTCTGTAATGCCATTGCATTCTAGCTGATGGGTATATTCAGGTGCTGTCAGCCCCTACTTGGTTACGGGTGCTGTGGAATACCCCTGAGTAAATGATGCTTTATAGCTTGGCACTTTGGGATTTGAAAACCCAAGACTCGACTGTGCTGTTGCTGCTCTAATGTTGAAGACTCATTCACAAAAAGCTGATCGTGAATCTTGTAAGGGATTCACTGGAGCCTGAACTTTGAGCTCCACCCACAATCATTTGATTCTCGGACTTCTTTCTCATAAAAATTAAAGAGTTTGTAGAGCTTGTTTTAAAGGGAAGTCTTGACAAACTTCTGTGTTAACTTGCAAGGAGAAATGAAGCCAAATTTCTAGGTATTTTAAATCCTAAATTAGCATCAAAGATCTATTCTTGAGATGTGCTACGCAATAGGAACTGTTCTTCCATTCTGTCAAGTTTGTAATAGTAGGATGGTTAGAGTTGGAAGGGACCCTGAAGATCATCGAGTTCCAACCCCCCTGCCATGGGCAGGGACACCTTCTGCTAGACCAGGTTGCTCAAAGCCCCATCTACCCTGGCCTTCCAGAGATGGGGCATCCACAACTTCTCTGGGCAACCTGTTCCAGTGTCTTACTGCCCTGACAGTAAAGAATTTCTTCCTGATATCCAATCTAAACATACCCTCTTTCAGTTCAAAACTCTTATCCCTCGTCCTATCACTACACTCCTTGATAAAAGAGTCCCTTGCCATCTTTCCTGTAGGCCCCCTTTAGGTACTGGTAGGCTGGTATAAGGTCTCCCTAGAGCCTTCTCTTCTCCAGGCTGAACAGCCACAACTCTCTCAGCCTGTCTTCATAGGAGAGGTGCTCCAGCCTTCTCATTATCTTCGTGGGCCTCCTCTAGACTTGCTCCAAGATGTCCATGTGCTTCTTATGTTGGGGGCCCCAGAGCTGGATGCACACTCCAGGTGGGGTCTCATGAAAGCAGAATAGGGAGCAGAATCACCTCCCTCAACCTGCTGGCCACACTGCTTTTGATGCAACACAGGATACGGTTGGTTTTCCGGGCTGCAAGCGCACAGGGCTGGCTCACGTTGAGCTCCTCATCCACCAACACCCCCCAGTCCTTCCTCTCAGAGCTGCTCTGGATCCATTCTCTGCTGAGCCTGTATTTGTGCTTGGGATTGTCCTCACCCAGATGTAGGACCTTGCACTTGGCCTTGTTGAACTGCATGAGGTTGGTGTGGGCTCACTTCTCAAGGCTGTCCAGGTCCCTCTGGATGGCATCCCTTCTCTCCAGTGTGTCAACTGCACCACACAGCTTGGTGTCATTGGCGAGCGTGCTGAGGGTGCACTCAATGCCACAGCACTGGTCCCAGTACCGACTCCTAAGGAATGCCACTCGTCACTGGTCACCACTTGGACATTGAGCCGTTGACTGCAACTCTTTGAGGGCAGCCATCCAGCCAATTCCTTATCCACTGAGTGGTCCATCTGTGAACTCCAGGTCTCTCCAATTTAGAGACAATAAATAGGAGGTCTTAGGTATGAAAAATAAATGAAGTAAACTGGGGTATTTTAAATGCCTTTTGGGGGTAAAAAATTACTTTTTTGAAACAAAACCTGTGGCAATGGGGGTGCTGTTGTAACTCACAAATCACAAATTTAAACCTAAGCACATTTCAGCTTATGAACCAGTGAGACTCACTAGAGCAGCCAGTGTAACTATTGCTTCCCCTTCTTCAATCTTAGTCCTGCATATTCTGTCAAATCCCACAGAATAAAAAAGCTTCCAAAGCACATCAGTGCTGTAGAGGAACCACATCAGTGTTTGCTGACTTGGGAATGATGCTAACCCAATCTCCCATCATGTTGTCCTATTAGAAGATCTGTCTACCACCTGCAAGAAGAATTCTTCTGATGGGTAAGACTCTCAAGTGGCTCAGCACAGTATCCAAGAGGGACAATTTTCAGCCCCAACTTTGATTAACTCCCAAATGCTAAGGTTCCTTCAATTATTCAGGGGAGAATTAAGCTGATGTGCTTTTTTATTGTTTTTTAATATCATGGTTTAACCCCATTTAGCTGGCCATTGAATAAATAGGCCAAGAGGGAGATGAAACTCTGTCTTGAAAGTTGTTCACACAACTGACAGTGTCAAGCACAGCTGCAGGTTTATCTAGAAAGGGCAAGTTATGTCATGGTCTGCTAAAATGTAGGATAAAAAAGGGCTGTTAATCCTGTCTCTCCCAGATTTAAATATCACCTGAATCAGGCAGTCCATGACTTCTCTCTCTATGGTGTCCTAAACCAGTTCCTCCTTCTCATGCTTGGACCTGATACCTCCTCCATCCAGAAAACATTCTGGCCTGAGCCTCCAATCTATCGTTGGCCTGGCAGGGGTTGTGTATTGCAGATGCTGTATTTTAAGCATATTCACAAGCATATTTTCATAGGATCAGAGCTATTGTAGTACAAAAGCATTCCTCCGACCAATTTCAAATCCTTCATCTTTTCTTCAGGAGAAGGGGAATGTTGGCAGAACCTAGACAATTTTGGAAATGGTCCCCAGCTGAAGAATTTCTTGAAGCGTCAGCCTAAAAATGTTGCTGGGGTCTGGAATTGGTGGACTTGGCATCACCTGAAAAAGCCAGGGTGCAGCCTGTGTGCTCCTCGAGACCCCAAGATATTTTTCACAACAGCATACATGTTATTTTGGCCGAATTTTTAACTTTGTTTCTCCATGAGATTTCTATGTGGCTTCAGCGGAAAAGGATATTCTCAAGTTTCTAAATTGTTATGCAGCACGGTTTTCTTCTGTTGAACACCCGTGGTTTCAGTGGAGCTTGCATTATACTTTAGTACCAAGTAGGACAGCCCTGAACATTTTGCCTCTTATGGCAAATCGTTCTTGTTTTCTCTTTCAAATATCTGCTTAAAACAGATAACTGGGTGCTTATCTACTCTCTAGCCCTTGCTATACCTACTTTCTTATCCCACTTACGTTCAATTTATAGGCCTCTCAGCAGCTGAAGGGGGAAATTCTCAGAAAACCTTATTTCAGAGTGTGACATACATATTTTCCTACTGTCCCTAAAACTGGACAATTGGGCATTGTGCTTCCTCACCAAGGCAGGAAAATATCAATGCTACAGAGTGTACTGGGGAGTCCATCTGGAAACAAAAAATCTGTATGTGGATTTGGCAAGTTTCCCAGTCACTGCTGAAGAGATGTGGTTTCCTGAAAAAGTGAAAAACATGTTCCCAGTCAATACATGACTTTCCCCATCAGATGGTGCTCAAGGACAGTTATTGGGCATTTCATTCTCCAGCAGGCAAACTCTCTTTGCTACAACAGGAAGGAAAAGTCTCCTCTGCAAGACAAAGTTAGATGGGCCTTTTAGAAAGATCAAAAAGTGCTATTGAACTTTTTTTTTTTTCCTTTGCAGGGAAAGAAAAAAAAAAAAAAGATAGGAAAAGGCAGACCTCTGACACAAACCAGAGCAACCGTTGGTTGAGAAGGGCTACCTGAGACACAGCCTGTGTCACCTGCTGCTGTCATTGCTACTGAAAAGAACAACCAGGATAGTTCCCAGAGGTGGTGAGGGTCTGACCCAGCAGTAGTGGAAAAGAGTCTAAAACGGGTGGGAGGAGCAGGAGTGGGGAAGGGAAAGAGCGCTTGCAAGGAGACAGCTCCAGGAGACTCGTGATTCTGCTTCACGGTGTAGCCATGCTGGAGATCTGCCTTGATGCTTGTCTTCTGTGGATCTCAAAGTGCTTTGGACAGGTAACAGCGTGCAAGCATGTTTGCATGTTTTGAAGCACCAAGCCTTTTTGAACATATTACATAAAAACAACCTGCAATTTGATGTACGTGTACTATGGGGCACCCAATTTAAGTACCAATGATCTGAGCATGCACTGTACTGACCAGCAGAGCAGTAAGATTCCTGAAAACTTCATTCATTATTTAGAACTGTGCCATAAAAAATTACAACCATTTGGGAAAATAGGCAGTGTTCCCCGGATACAAGCCAATTCCTTGGTCACTACCAGCACATGGAAGAGAAATCTCCGCAGGAGGTAAACTAAATGTTGCTGTGCAACACTTCACATTTATTTATTTATTTGGTCAAATTTCAGATGGGCCTGATATAAAAACCAGTCTGATCTGCAAGGAGGACATGGTTTCAAAACTGAAATCCACACTCGGGGCTTCTTTCTTATTCAAACATGATCCCGATAATGCAGTGATGGAGTACCCGCTGACAATTTTATTGATGAAACATATTTTCCTGTTGAAAGACAAATTCAAATTTGGTTTTAAAGCTTTCTGGCTTTGTTTGAACCTTTTTTTTTTTTTTTTTCAAAACAGGAGATGATCATCAAAGGATAGCTAAGTATTGCCTTCCACAAAAATCAGTTGAGAATAGACATGAACATTTGACTGAGATTTCTAGGGTTCACATAGCCATCCATCTGCAGCTTAGACTTTGCATTTGACACACAGCAGAAACTTCCATAGCTGGATCAAAGGAAAAAGACTAAAAGACCTGTGCCAATAGAAGAGTTTAAGAAGGCTTGACATTTCAGATACATGCATTAAATAAATATTTTGGAAAAGCTGTTAGAAGGAAAGTCTTAATCCCCATTTATAAAACTAATTTGTCAACCCCGCCCGCGAACCTTTGAAAGAAAGCTACCCTGTGCTTTTAAAAGGTAATTCTGATTTTTAATAGTTCTTTCAAAACAAGCTTAAATAAAAAAAAATTAATCTTATTGCCCACAGATTTAGAAATGTGCTAATGAAAAAAAGAAAAGTTATGATTTCACAGTGTACATTCTTCAATTAAAGTTATCGATCTTGTAACAAGTACAATGAAAATGATTTCTGCATTGTGCTGAAATGTGTAGCTGTGCTAAAGCAAGCTCAAAACTTAAGACAGATTAAGTGGGACAGAAAGTGCAAATTCCTGAGAGCTACAGTTAAGTATCATTTATTTTAATGCACCCTCCCTTCCCAGATGCACTCAAATGGCAGCCGTTTGTGCTGGGATGAAGAAGTCCGTGTTTCTTACGGGTGTTATTAAGGTGCACAGTGACTTCAACTTATTCCAGGACCCCGCTGTGCTACTTTTCTGTACAAACAAATTAGACGGAACATTTTTGTTCCTTGGGAGTGCATAGCTCAGACAAAGAAAAGATTATCTTTCCCCTTTTACAGATGAGGAAACAAGAAAAGTAAAACAAGTTGACCAGGGTCACAAGCATGAGCTGAATGAGCTTTCTTGAGTCTCAGTGGTCCCTGACTCAAACAGGAGACTGCTCGCTTTGGCTGTGTGCAGCGCTCTGCAACTATCCTACTGCTGTGTTTGCACTGCAACTGAGAAACTAAGGTGCAAAAAGCAATTTTGAATAAGAAAGTTATTTATCCACTTGAAGTTTTCTCTTTTTAGAGGCTTCTGGTGTCCTGCTAGGTGCTCTCAGCTGTTGTTGACATTAGTGAAAGTCAAGGTCATTCAGATTTCCCTTGGCGATTCTCAGTACCTTTCAAAGGTTACATATTGCCACAAATTCAGAAAGTAAAAATTCAAGCTATTCAGGTCTTGTCTCTGTTGCAACTCCTCTCTATAAACTGTATTTGCAATGCTGCTCCTACAGCTTGTTCCTTCTCTTCTTCCTCTTTTTCTGCATGACAGCTCTTCGAACAAACTGGGCTTTAGGAATATCTGTATTCTTCTTACAAAGTCTGTATGATAGGTGCATTGTGCAATTTTCAGTGTTACTCATATTAAAGCTCTGGGTAAAACAGTTGATTATAAATAAAATCTGAAATGATACAGATTTTTTTTTTTAAGAACGCATTCCTCACTGGACTTTCAACAATGATTTTCAATGGATAACTGGGTATTGAACCTGCGTGACTTGGTTCCACAAGAGATGATGTGATAAGGCACATTTCCATCCTATCTTAATAGTGGAAATAATGTAATTAAATCATTGCCATAAGTTATTTATAAAAGAGATATTTTTTTTTTTAATGTCTTCAGCTTTGCAACTGTTCCAGTATTCTTTTCAGTATTCTTAGTTAATAGCATTGACTTTATCCAAATGGAAGTGGTTAGATCCACATTGAGGCTTGGTTGTTTTTTTTTTAATGGATCCCATAGCCTGATCAGATAGTTTAGAATCCTAATTCGACACGTCCACGGTTTATTACCAATAGTTCTCTTTCTGCTCTGATCAGTATGGCTGGTTCTCGGGCTTATTTCTCTGCCTTTCCCCTTGCGATGCCTGCCTAACTAACCGTGGTGGGGGCGTAGGTCTGGCCGACCCGTGGTCTGCAGATAAATCTTCCCTGCTCAAAGTGCCAAATCTTGGTCTCGTCAGCAGTGGCTGCCTGAACCCGATGGATGGCTGAGGCACGGTGCTCGGCTCCTGCTGCTCTCCTCGTCCATCCTGGTTCCCGTCAACTTCGTTCTTCCACTCCACCCTAAATTCAGGCGGTGGCCTCTGCTGTCTCAGTCTCTGGTCTCTCAAGATTTTCCCTGCTCTGGGTCTTAGGTTGAGCACTGTGGTGGCGGCATCCAGCTCAGAGTCACTGCTGTCACCCACTGTTAATTGAAAACAAAATTAACATTTTAGGTGAAAAATATTCCTGTTTCAGGAATATTTGAATAACAACACACTGAGCACTAGCAGGCATAGAAGAAAGTTTCCCTGGTTTTCCCAAATTCAGTGCTTTCTGATTAGACCACGTAATAGACACATTGCTCTGCTGGGACAGAGAATAGTTTTGAATTACAAACATCCCTCCCCTCTGAACTGTGATTTTTAGAAAGTCTCCATGCAGCTGCTCCTTAATCACTGAGTAGCCCCCTGTTTGAGTTGGCATTTCCCCATTTCTGCCTCTGGACATGGAGAAATTTGACCCTGTCTGAGCGTCTTGGGGTCGACTCCCCGCTTAGGTCCAAGCAGGATACAGAAATGAGATTTCTCACCCTCACATCCCATGAAATCTTATCTGAGAGGCTTTTCCAGAGCACGACATGTACAAGAGCTCTAGAAACCTGACTTTGGAAAAGGATTGTCACCGTGCAAAGGATCTCCCAAGGTCAATGTACAGATGGGAGGAAACAGCCTGTCCTTAATACACCTGAATGTAAGATATCAAAGAAAATCCACAGGGCAAATCTCACAGGCTGCAAGTGCTGCAGAATCCTTAACCCTTTCACAACAAGGCAGAAAATGGTCAAGAGAAAGTCGGCATAACCATTCAGGGGATACTCTTAAATGATCGCTATCAGGTAAAGCAAGTTGGAAACATTCTGGATGTGCACACATGCATATATTTTCCCCAGCAGACTTCTTTTTAATTGACTAAAACCTTCATCAAACTTGCACACTTCAGTCATTATCAAATGATGACAAATGCTCAAAATCATTTTAACAATCATTTATGAATGCCTCAGATTTGTTCTTAGACTTAAGTCAGATACGATGTTTTATATATATCAAAGCAAAGAATTGTGTATTGTGCAACTGTCGTAAGAACAACTTCCATTAGTAGCCTACATGTTATTTCTTTTAAAAAGGTGAGGAAGAGGTCAACAAAATACATCACCACGTAATTGTCCATTCACCCAGATAATTATATATCAAGGAAGGTCTTCATCAGACTGTGTTTGCAGGCTTTTCCCCCTCTAAATATGTCAAATAATATATTTTTTGACAATTGAATAATCTGGAGGCACACTTCCTCTTTAATTCTAGGTGACAGTAGGTGACCTCTGCAGACATAACTACAGAATAAAAGGCATCCTACATTCAGGAAAGCAAAGATGTAATTATCAGCAGACAAAACCGTGGTCCACTGCTAAATTAATTTGGAAGAGTGGGAGACTAATTGGGGTGGGGATAAGGACATTTTAGCAACTTTGTAGAGATTTAATCTTCCCAGCATCTTGATGGTTGCTTGTCATGAAAGGGAATGCTCTTGAACATGGTATAAGCACAGTAATGCAACTGGTAATAATCAAAAGTAATATATAGAATTGGGCAAAGTTTTCACATCAAATTGTTGCCTTCCAGCTTTTTCACTTTTTTGTTAGAATTCAAGATATCCAATATAAAACATTTATAAGTTTAGGCAGGAAAAAAAAAAAAAAAAGACATTTTGGTTGTAAACCACAGCATTTTGAGAAGTTCTTAATGAAAACTACAAAGCAGATCTTATGTCCTTATTCTCCTCTCTGGTTTGGTTTGCAGAGCAGTGTCCTCTACCAGAACCCCAGTGAGAAAAGAAACCAAATAGGCTCATAATCCAAGAGGGAGATGTGGACATTATGGAATAAAGACAAGGAGAACGAGCCATGGAAGCGTTTCTGGTGCAGAAGTGTTTCAGGCTGCTGCTTGCACACATGAGGAGATGTGTTGGGAGGACAACACCACTACGGCATTTGAACTGAGAGAAAGCCCCACAAGACTCTGCTTGCTGGGGCATTCCTCTGCACTCAAATACCTGCTTTAGTACCACCGCTTTTAATGCTCTAAGACCCCTGCTAAATTTCCAACACCTAGAAATACGCTATGAAGGTATTAACTCTAGAATGAAAGCATGTGAACATAAAACATGTAATATTTATTTGGAAATTAATATGCTGATTTCCCCACGCCATCCCTGGAAAACCTTTCCTTCTGTGTGGGCAAAATGACTGCAGCACAGTAATAAGAGAGAGCAGAATATTTGTCATTACCTCTGGAAGATGTTTTATTTCTCACTCGTAGTTTCTCTGGGAGTTTAGTGTTTTTAGGAAGTGAAAGGAATCTTTTTGTATTTGCAGCAGCCTGTGCAAAGAAATATCAAAAATGTTAAGTTACTGCAGACTGAAGTACCTGCATGATGTATGTTAAAGATACGCGACTAAGGCTTGAATGGGTTTATGTAGCTAAAGGGCTAGAGAGTAGTTTGGGATTAGCTAATATGTGATCTTTTACTACACACTCAAATTAACGCCAATTGCTGGTTGAGGTCTGTGCTAACTAAGGTAAAGACTGAGTAATCTCAAGCAGCTTAACCAAAGCAACGCCTAGTGATATGCCCTCTGACATCAAAGTTAATAAATGTATGCTCTCTAACCTCAACCTTACCTGTACAGGTTTTCCTAAGGAAAGCCAACGCTGCAAGCACGGCATCACTTCATGCAACTCCAGTTTGGAACTTTTTATTAGTCAGCTGCAAAAATTTGGTTGTGACTGAAGCTTGGGCACAAGAACTAATCTGTATTCTGATCCTGAAAGCGCTTTATACATATAAATGACTTTATACAGTTGACTAGTCACACTGAAGTTGACGGGGAAGTTAGGCACCAGCGTGATCATTTACCAATTCAGGGCATAAAATCCATGTTTTCCCAGGACTAAGCTGTAAAGGCCCTGGGTGCAGAGCGCACCTTATACTTCCTGGAACATAAGAGGTACTTTTCAGGAAAGGTTGCTTTTTATTTAAAATTCAAAAATTTCTCAAAGGCATCCTTTCTTACATTTGGTACAAAGATTTTTTAAAACCTTTACAGTCTACCAGCCCTCCCCTGCTTGTACCATTCATTGTTGCACACTCAAAGGGAACCTGAAAGGAAATCTGTTTTTCATGAGACATTTTTCCTCTTTGGATATTGCTGTGCTGCTCAGGACCACTATGCTTCCCTCTGAGGTGAATTTATCCAAGGATGATTATTTTTAAAATTGCAGCCTGTGCATTTTAAAAAGCTGTCAGACACTCTCTTTCTCTTTCTGCCCCCAAAATGTCTTAATTCTGCTCAGTCTTTCATTATTCCATCTAGTATGTCATTTATTTGTATGAAAATGACAACATATGTAACTCTGTTTGAGAGGGGAAAAATCATTCAGGAACAGACTTATTGTCACAATTAAAGCCACAGTAACCCTAGTAATGATCACAAATGAGATACAGCACTTATTGGAGACATCGTTCCAGCCTCAGCTGCTGAAGGTGTTAATAAAGGTACCAGTCACTAAGTATTCCTGTAACATGAAAATACGTATTTATAGGATGGGTAATTTCTCCAATACGAAGGATTATTCTCCAATAAGAAGGTGATTTGGGATTCAGCTTCCCTGCTGAATCAGCGTGCTATGTCCAAATATGGTCTGAAGTTTGCAAGGATGATATTGCAGGATTGCCTCAGAGAGCTGAATGTCATCATGCCACACCATTTCTTCTAGGTGGAGAGGGTTTTCCTTTTCTTTGTCAAAACCCAAAAGTCTTGACTACATTTTAGGAATACTAAATATCCAAAACCATTTTTCAAATGAAGTGCCCACCCTGACTGACTCGATCAAAAGTTGTCCTCTTTCCCATATTTTGAAGCATACTGTAAGTAGTCTGTATCAAAGTAATTTTTGACCTTGACCATCCACACCTCACCAAAATGCTGATAGAGAATACTGACCATCCCTTAGAAACACACTGCGTATGGAGCCTGTTCAGCTCCTCTGAGATAAAATTATGGCAGCAGATCCCACTCCCATATCATATTCTACAAGACTGAAGCTTTGCTGAAGGGGTCAGCATAAATTAAGGGGCCCATGTGTGCACTTCAAGATGTGAGGGTGACATCAGATGTGCGGTTGTCTTCCAAATTCAGGAATATTTTTTTCTGCATTTCAGAAGACTTTTTTTTCCGCATGTGATTTAGCTACAAAGAACTGTTTTCTGTAAAACAACTAAAATGCAAGTACCGGTCTTTCTCTTGACAGGCTGTTCGTCTTCCTCAGGCTCTCCCTAAGGCTGTGCCGGCGACGGATCAGAATTTCTTTGGCCTGCTTTTCATTTGCATCTGCAGCCAGGCTATGTCGGTTATATGACATTGTCTGAAATATAAAAGCAGTGGTTACATTCTGAAAAGCACAATGTCAAATGCGTTGAACTATACGCACAGTGCAAAACAGCCTTTTTGTTTTAATGTCGCAACAAGCATCATAAATCCTTGCGAACAAAATCATATTGAAAAACAAGGACAGCAATTATGCCAGCATTTTTTTAGTCATCTGCTTCACAAGCCCCTGCTTTTGCTTTTTTTTTTTTTTTTTTTTTTTTTTTTTTTTTTTTTTTTTTTTTTTTTAACCTGCTGATATTTGTAATGAAAGATAAATTGGGAAAAACTGGCTTAACACAGTGTTTACCCCCACGTTGGACTAGCTCAGTCAATATGTCAATAGAGGATGCACATTTGAAAGCGATAAGATGAGTCACCTAGGGGGAAGCCATTTTTACCTCCAGCAAGCTGAAGCTTGCTCCGCTTTTGAATGTTTTCCAAGGACTCAGACATTCAAACTACTTAGCCACAGGAGGGTAAATGTGAAATGTCCTTTTGCTTTTATTTCACTATTTTTCCAGCTCATCACTTCTGCTCTTAATACAAACAACTTCACAACTGGAGGCAAATGGGAAATCTAATCTCATATCATGAAGTGACCAAAATACTGATATAAGTGGGACAACGTTGGTTGAATTTCCACCTATGATCCCTTTTAAGTAATGTAAGTATATTGTAGATAATAACAAAACAAAACCATTAATCTTTATCCATAGTATAAGGTCACATAACCTATTTAAATCAAGGAGTATGAATATGTTGCTGTACGTATGACAGGACATGGATCCACAGGCAATAGAAGTAAATATCAACATTAATTATTACGCTGCGGTACAGCAGATGCTGCACTAGCCCAAAGATATGTTATGAAGGTAATCAGTATATTCAAAGATTAGTGGGATGTTTAAGTATGCAAAACTGCATCCTTACTCGATGTCGTATTTGATAGAGATTCTTTGTTAATATTTCCCGCATGTTTTCCATTTCAGTGGGAGAAAGCGGCTTTATCTTTCCTTCATGATATTCACTGTGGCAGGATAAAAAAGGAAAATAGAGGAAAGAAAGAGAGAAAGAATGTTATTATTTTTATGACTGGGAATTACATTTGAACTATTTCCTTTGTTAGAGTTGGAAACAATATTTCAAAACAACCGAGGAACGGGTGAAAACGTAACATGTAGGAATGAAATCTTGATCTCATTTGAGTCAGTGGTAAGGCTCAAAACTCAGTCTCCAAAATTTTATATAAATTACATTAAACCGTAAATTTGATTAGGGTGCTTTTCAAAATGCCCCTCAGGCTTCCCCTGTAGCTATTCACAGCAGATGGGCAGGAACTGGTTCAAACCCAGCTCCGCTATATGTGGTAAATCACTGTTCCCATGAGCAGCTGCCCTTGTAAAACTACACGCTCCGGACGAGCACAGCTTTCCGAGCGCTTTGTGTGTGAGCTGCAGGCAAAAGCTCCTGTTTCACATCCGCTTACTGTTCAGGTGACATTTGGACACAAAGTGTCCTGAGTCAAAGTCATTATCCTGCCTACAGACTGGGCTGTGAAATAAATTACGCGACCCAGCCGAAACGCTCGGCCACGCTGGCATCGCTTGCTCACCTGAGAGACACCGACGATGGGACCTTGCTTATCATTCCGCTCTCCGCCATCTCAATGGCGTGTTTGATTTCCAGCTTCTTGTATAAAGAAACAATGCTGGATTTGGGCTGGTTCTCCCGGATTAGAAGTCTTCGCAGGTATTTATTGTCAAACTTTTTAAACCTGTCCGTGAGGCAAACCAACCCAACCAGTTAATCTTTACTGTGCGTAGTTAAGGAAAGCCAATATACTGTGGCTAATGCAATTGTGAAGGAGTTTATTCCCTGGGAATGTGTCTATTCATATTAACAACCTACTGCTGAGTAACATAAAAAAGGGTCAAGTTCATCTTTGCTTCAGATAGATAGTCTTAACCTGTGTTTTGGTTAATATGTTGATGGAAAGTCTCCCTAGCAGCAACTTTAAACTTTTAGGTGTTCTGTGTTATTAGACAATATTATTTTTAATTCTCCATTTTCATCAAGACAAAGAGAACATTAAATATTTACTGTAATAACAAATACAAGGTCTAAATTTGCACTGACTGCTTTTTCTTTGAAATTTTAGCCTGCTTTTGTAAAACTTTGGAAGTTCTCCCTTCCTCTAAAGCAATTGTAACCCTCTTGGATGCTTGGTGAAAAAATATTGATTACAACTGGGGTGATTTTTTTTCTCAGAAAATATTTTGCCCTACGGCCATTCTGAAATTATTCCTGAATTTGGGCCTGAAGGTCATGAAAATGTGGGACCCTCCTTTGCTCTGCAATCTGTTAATTAAAGATCTCACACAGACTGGAGGAGAACCAGGCTGAGTAAAGGAAAGTTGTACGCGTCATGTATGCATCTGTCACGAGAGTGCCCTCACTGTGCTGCCCTCAAGTCATTTGGAGAAAGCCCTTCTCAGCCCTTCCTGCTGGTGCTGTTCCTCTTTGTAGAAAACACTTAAATTCTTGTTGGAGCAGTGACTAGAAGGTGGGTGAGCAATGCCCACGCTTTGGGTCTAAAGGATTTGGGTGAGCGTGCTTCTAAGAAAAGGGAGTTAGATCCAAACCAATGACGATGATGATTCAGCAGCTAAACTAAACACAAGAATTATTCAGGTATTGCCAGTGGTAATCTTCTTAACTGACACTAAGTCTTAAATAATACATACCATCAAGAACTGTGGAGCTGCCTGCCATTAGGCTCTCTCATGCACCTCACGCCAGCTAGTGCCTTGATCTTTCTAGAGAAAGTCCCAAAGCTTTTGTATGCTTCCCATCAAATAGGGAACTAACCCCTCACTTAACACCGCAGAGACATACAATTTGCAGGAGGAAAGCCTGATGGGACGAAGGGCTCAGCAGACATACAGGAAATGCTCTGAAACAGTCAGAAACAGGGAGAGGACACCCACCCTCAGATGGTACCGTACTTTCCCCTGGGATCAGAGGGCTGCCTTTCTTCCCAGCTGGAGATGTTGTTCTACTTGCTTGTGGTTTAGTAAAAAGACATTGTTTTGCTGCTTTCCCTTTGTAACCCACACATTCTAAAAACAACCATCCGCTTTCAAGACTAAAATGCTGAAAATGAAATCTGATGCCCAACAGCCTTCGTTTGTTGCTGCTGAGCCAGTTTTGCCTCTCCTGTATAACAAAAGTTTTAAATGACATTCTTACTTATCTCTCCAAAAGTTATGACCCCAGTGTCCGCACACATCTTCAATTCCAGTCTTCACGTGGTCAAAGAACTAAAGAGGAAACGTTAGTTCATTACATAAACTTACAGACATGGCTTGGCCTGCCCTTAGATATTATTAGTTCCTAACTTACTTCAAAACAGAAAAGTGTCAGAATTCAGGACGGTGCTTCAGTTTAACTAAAGGTAGTCTAACCAAACTCAGAGCCAGACTCTGTTTTGTTCTTGTGCAGCTTCTTTAGCTCACAGCCCAAAAGGACAGAAGTTCGTTGCTATTTTCCTCAATGTCAGTCTTGCTCAGCTCCTGCCTGAATCCAGAGGTAACTTCCCCCCCCCCCCCCGCCGTATTTTCATTTCTTTTAAGTTCCATAACCACTTAGGGCTATGCCTGGGACTTCTCCAGGGACTTCTCCAGGCCTGACAGTAAACCAGGTATGACTTTGCAGAGGAGAGAGCCTGAGTGGGCAGTAGCTCCCCACCTTGGCATTGGCCCCTCAGGATGCACAGGACAGAGCTGAGATAGGTTGCATCAAGTCCTGAGCTCCAATTATAGGGGACTGTGGTCTCGACTCACCTCAAAGCGTCCACAGCACCTAATATTAGAAAGACACTCTTCCTCAGTTTATTATTAATTGCAAAAGAGTGAATCAGTTCAGCTAGGATCTCACTTGGTCCCCAGAGGCAGCTCGTTTGCTCTTAATTCAAGTACCATAGCAGGGGTCTCTCAAATTCGGGGGCAAATCATGGTAGGTATGTCCAAAAGATAAGCTTTAAAAGGACAGACTTTTAGATGCCTAGATTGACTTCTTTGTTGAATGTGGTCCTTATTATTTCTCATTTTTAGAATTTCAAGCCACCTGCCACAGGTATGCTGCAAGGAGAAATACATTCAAGAATATACAAGGCTAATAAACTGCAATAATTGGAGACATACACATACTAAGTACAAATCCATAAAGAGGATGATGATGTGAGAGTTAAGTAAGTTTGAGAGTGTGTTTAGAAGGAATTTGCATTTGTTTAATCAGACTAACGCAAATGCAGTGTAATGTAATTAAATCGCCAGAGCTTTCCTAATGTAACCAAGGTCTAAAATAACACATATCTTATGTGTAAAACAAACTACAGAAAATTAATTTACCTCAAGAAGTGAACAATTAAGAAAATTAAGATTCCAAAATAATGATACGTAATAATGTTAATTTTGGTAATTGCCAAAGGTTAAATACAAGCTTTACAGTTATTGTGCTTATAACAGCTATCAAAAGGAAGTCTAAAAGAGTGTGTGTCTCTCTGTAATACTATAGGCGAATCCTTGTCTTACTGAAAGCCACTAGGAATTTCATCTATAGGAGGGTTTCATCTATGACACTAAAGCTGCAACATACCCTGTTATAAATTTCTTCACCAACAGCAGGCTGCTTTTTATTTGACCTTTTGACATCAAGAAACTCCACCAGTGGGCGAATTGTTATTCCCTGTGAAAACAACAACAACAAAAAAAAGGCACATAGTTCTGGGGTTTTTTTCCATAAACGTAAAGAAAAAACAAAGCCTTTTGATCTTTTCCATCTCTGTCAGAGCACTGAAAATGGTTGTGGATACCCTTTTAGCTCTGGATACCCTTTCACCTTCCTAACCCCAAAATCCAGCACAATACTTGCAATAATGAATTCACTCTTCTGATTAGTAGGTGTTGCACTTAGCTGTGAAGTCCTTGTCAGCATGCAGACTCCACTAATGCAACGGAAGGAAGGAAGGGGCTCTCTAGAGCTAAGAGGTCTGAGACGGGCAACCTGACAAACCCCATCAGGAATACAGCAATTACCACATCCACAGTATTTTTAAACTTTTTTTTTTCGGTTCTGATATATATTAGAAAAACTCTCACTTTGTTTTCTGAATTAATAAACAGACCCCCCATCATTCCAAAGCAAACATATAGTTCTCTTTTTAAGTGATTACTTCCAAAACAGATACTCAACGATGTGTCAACTGAAGCACTAAAAGTGCTTTTCAAGATTGCGACACTAAGACTTTTTGTAAATATGTGTCCTTGCCTGACTATTCTCAGAGAAAGAAGAAAAAGTTTTGGCTATCCCAGAGTGATATAATGGTTTTGAACAATTATTTCTGGAAGAATTGACCTAATTTGTTTATTTGTATAGGTGCACTGGCACAGGGGAGAGGAATGAATCTCTCATGGTGTTGATATCAGTCCCTACTATCCCAGACAACCAGTCATATATTTCTTTTTGTAAATGAATCTAGCTTTACCTTTAAAGTAGTGAGGTTTCTTTGCCCCATTGCTCATACTGGAACACTCATCCTGAACCTCATTGTTCTGATAATTAGAAAGCTGCTTCTTAATTGCATCATGGCCACTCTGTACCACTTTGTTCTTGTGCCAACATTTGTCTTTTTAGTTTAAACAGTGCTCCTCCTTCTATGGTGTTCACTCCCTCATATAAACAGTAATTATATTCCCTCTTCTTGGCGAAGGCCAAGGCATTCTGGTTTCCTTTCACACAACAGGCTTACCAGTCCCAGGATCACTCTAGAACATGACACTATTCTCTGATGGAAACACCTGGAAATACCTCAGTATGCCTTCAGATCAGATTTGCCTTTCTTCTGCCCCCACTGCATTGGTGGCTTAAAGTCTACTCCGGTATCAACTAGTACACCTGTGTCTTTTTCCCTTTCTATTTTTTTCCAAACGAAAGGTTCCCATTTCGTAAGAGAAATCCCTAGCAAGAAAGTCCTGGCAAGAACACGTTTGCACTTACTACTGTTGAATTTCATTCTGTTTCTATCATACTGGCCCTCAGTTATTCTCTTCTGTCTAGATGATACCCCATCTCGCTGTCACCCTGAGAACACCTTCCACAGCCCATCACAAGGAACAGCAGCAACAAAAAACTCCTATGTTTATGTGCCATGGTCAATAATGTGAATATTAAACAAAACCATCCCCAGGAACCATCCTTGAGGAATTCCATTAATAACATCTCATCAGCCTATTACCTGATCAGAGTGGTTGAACGCTGGAGCAGGTGCCCAGAGAGGCTGTGGAATCTCTGCCCATAGAGATATTCAGAACTCAACTTGAGGTCCTTCTGACCCAAAGGCCCATGTGCTTCTATATCCCTTTATAAGAGAAACTGTCAGCTCCTTCCTCATCCTAACGTCAATCTGAACCGCAGTTTAACGAGTAGTTAAGCTAACAATCTCCTACATAGCCCCTTCCTTCAAAGATGTTACAATAGTCCAGTTAGATGAGATTACTCTAGAAAATAAACTGCCTTATCAAAGAATACCAGGTTGAAATTACTCTAGAAAATAAACTGCCTTATCAAAGAATACCAGGTTTTCCTTGGCAAATCATGTTGCTTTTCAGAACACATTCCATTTACCTCCGTATTTTAAATTATTGTATCCTTCAAAGTCAGGTTTCACAGATTGCATTCTAAGGTCAACTAACTAATCTCCAGCTGCTCCAGCCACCTTTTCCCCTTTCCCAAGCATGAGCACAGACACTTGCTACTTCCCATGGCACTTTTACTCATATAAAAGGCAGGCTAAAAAAATATATTTTTTTCCTACAGACCTAAAATTCCACGTACTACCCCCTCACATCTCTCTCACTGCTCTGGATAATGACTCAAACACTTTAGTTCACCTCTCAGTGCCCTCAGTGTCTTCCATCCTCTGCCCACTGTGTGCCATACCCAACACCGAACTCCTGAGTAAATGTACAACTTTAAATATTCTAACAAGGAATTAGTGTTGGGGCTGTACCCAGATTATCTCTTATCTCTACTGCAACCTCACTAGGTCTTAAATGCTTAATACTACTTAAATGTTAGCATAAGTACTTAATATCTGGCATAGTTTTGTTACCTGTCTGCAGTCTGCATAGCATTTTTTTTAAACTATGACCATGGAGAGTACCTTCAAGTATGTTCCTTCCAGTAAGTTACGACATTTGTTTTTCTACCCAGTGCTTATTTACAGCCTGTCTGAGAAAGAAGAAGTCCAGAAGAAGAAAGGCATTACCTGAATGAAAACGGTAAAGAATATCACCACGATAACAGCAGTGATGAACAATTTCTTCCTGGGAAACACAGCAGGAGGAAGCAGAAATACAAGTGAAAAGCAAATAGCTCCTCGGAGGCCTCCATAGGCAATAATAAATTGGTCCTTAAAAGTGAGAGGAATTGTCCGGAACACATTAATGATCTGAGTCAGAACAAAAACACCTGAGGGAAAAAAAACAGAAATAAAGAGAGGAGGGGGAAAAAAGGGAAAATAAATTACACAGAAATCCTCCACAATGCTAATATTTGTTTTAAAACACTTTTATTTGCTTCTTACCTATATATTTTTATATATTATTACCTGTATACTATATCTATATTAATATATATTATATATATTATACCTGGTCTAGTGGGAGGTGTCCCTGCCTATGGCAGGGAGGCTGGAACTAGACAATCTTCAAGGCCTCTTCCTAACCTAAACTATTCTATGATTCTACGATCCTATGATTTTACGATTATTGAAGAAATTAAATGTTACTTAGCAGCTTGAAAACATCATGGAAGAAAAATTTAAAATGCCTAAGGAGCATCATTTAAATTAAACAGATTTATTGAGCTAACCACCTCAGGTCAGCTGGATTTAGGACCTGAAGCAGCTAATTGATCTCCACAAGACAGCTATCTGCTAGACTCTGCACCTCTGGAACTGCAATAATTCTGTGTCAGTATAGACCAAGACTCCTAATTTATTTATTTAAATAGGATTTGAGGTGATTTTGAACACTTTGGCTTGTCACCTCCATCAATCTGTGCTCTGAATTCTGCAAACTCCTATTCTCCCACTTAATTTTACTTGCATAGACAGGAAGGATGCAGGACTGGGGACTGAGGGAGAAGATGCCAGTGCATGCTGGTGTACCAAAGGCTCCAGGGATGTGTCGGACTGGAGTATACAGGCAGGTGAAGGGGGTGAACGTGGGGGCCAGGAGCTTTTCAGCATAAGGTATTAATTGTGTGGTTGCAGGTGCAGGAGGGAAAATAGTCCAGATTTCTTCATGGGAGGGAGACTTGGGAGCTGGAAGTAAGGGTGCAGAGGCAAACCAGAGGATGAACCTCCTCTACGCACAGAGGGACCAAATGATTATGTAGGAGGAAACCTTAAGACCTACCAGCCTGACCTGCACTTATGTCTCAAGGTAAAACAAAAAGAGCTAGTACTGCAAACTCAGGAAAAGCCAAGCAGTTTCGTATACGATTTCTTTCTTCACAATATATACCTGAACAACACTTCAACCACAGCGTTTCCTGTTTTGATGCTATTTATGCCAATGACTGGTAAAATCCCAAAGTTAGTAAACATAAATAAAACAACTCCCCAAACCTGTTTTTATTGTTGTACAACTGCAAATTCTTTTAAGCAAAATTTGCTTATTTGTCAATAAATGTTTACGTAAATACTCTGATTTTAGATGGGCAGGACCAGGACCAGATTGATTTCTGGGTTCCATTTTGGGGGAAGGTGAAAGCTGACCCTGAGATCTAGGACACCTTACAAATCAGAAGACCATTCCACAAGCTGATGGGACTCTGTATAAATTTTGGCATTCTCTACTTGAGGAGAGGTAAAAAGCTTCATTTGCAAACAATACTGATGGGTAGTCTGAGACTCGCTTACCCAGCGCCCTCCAGATTAAACAGAAAAGGAGGGTGAAGCTAACGAAGGCCCAGTTCCACTCATGGTTCTTCCCAACTGTAGACACTCCCATGAAGATGAAGATTAAGGTCTCACTGACACTGCTCAGCATCTTCATGAAATATTTTATTGTCGTATAGGATTTTTGGGAAACATTTTCCTCCACGTATTTATTCATGGTCATGGCACAAGCTGTAATCCTGCAAGGCAAACATTATCCTGTATTTGATTGATTTTTTTTTTTAGCCTCTCTCATTTCTACAGAATATTATTCACTTTTCCATAGTCATCTTTAAATACAAAGCAGAACTTATTCCATAACCAATCTCAAATTTACAGACTCGGTGAACCTACATTTTTGGGCATGAGATTTTTTTTTCACATTGGGGAGTTTTCTGAGAAGCCATCAGTATATGGAGAGTTTTGTCACACACTACATCCATGTGATCTGTGCAGGGGTCACTCAGACTCTGTGTTATGAAAGAGACAGAGCTGAGGAGAGCCAGGGGAAGCCCTGGAAAACAGGGATTGCTGCTTCTCTTGCTGCTGAGGGATATCGGACAAGATGGCAACTGCACATGCTGGGGTGGGACTTCACTACCTTCCCACCAGCAGTCATCCCACCAAACTGTACCCCTCCTCAATGGTAGTGACAGTAGCCAGCTCCTCTTTCCAGGCAAAGTAAGCAGCAAGGCAACAGGCAATTTGTCATCCTCCACCGCTCTAGGCCACTGCCTCCTTAGTCTGTGCATAGGAGCCATGGAGACCCATAGGGACCATGGACCCACAGAAGAAATACACACCCAGAAACCACGCCGGTGCTGTTGCACATTTAAAGCATGTACAAATGAATGCAATGGGCATCTCGGCCGATACATGAGAGAATAGACAGGGCTTACTGTAAATATGCCTATATGTCCACGCTCTGAGCCTCTGTTAGTAAACAGTTTCTTAACCAGCAGGAAGAGCGAAGAATGACATTACTGGCTGTACATCACCTGCTCAGTGTGGTTGCCCATGGTGCAGGGATGGCTGAGGATCACTCAGTTAGAAAGTCTGCAGGTTTAAAGATAGTTAGCAGAGCTGGCTGAAGGATAACCTCAAGGTGGTGCGTCAGCGTAGGGAAGCACAATCTGAATTGCCTAATAACTATCAGGGTGGGCAATTAATGCAAGATGCATTGTGAAATAGCTGTCACTCCCAGTTCGCTTATCTAGGGCAAAACCACATCTTCTCTGATTTCCCAGTTAAAAACGTTATACACACCCATGTACAGGTTCTCGGTTGAACCATGTACACTAAACCTAAACAGTGAGAGATGTGTATTTATGTTGTCTTTCTGAACATAGCCCATGAGGACCTGTCCTACCCTTACTTATCTCCGTTCCACCAGGTTTTCAGATTATAATTATTTGGAGATTTCTCTTCCTATTGAAATCTCCACGCTGCTCTCTCTCATGGAGGAGGATGGCAGGTTTGCCAGCACCTCTTTGGAAAAAGTTGAAGAAGACTCTCCCACGTCTCATGGAGATCCCACTGCAGAAACTCTTTTGCTGAGCGTGTCCTGCCTCTAAGCCAAGAACCCCATCTCTGACCAACTCAGACATCCCTGAATGTGTGTGTAAATGGAAAGACAGACTGATGGAGGGCTCAGAAAAAGCTCACTGATATTATCAACACACGTGTCTAGGTTCTTTCTTTTACAAGAAGGGATTAAAAAATATTTTGCAAAGTAGAAAGGGGAATCCCAGAAGCAAAAGTAACTTCAAAAGGACCTTCACATAGTAAACTTTCTTAGCATTTTGCAAGAGAGTGTCCATAGCAGCAGCTGAGGCTGTAGTCACTGGCAGACTCTGAACAAGTTTCTCCTAATTAATTGAAGTTAGTTTTGTCTAGAAATTTCCTTCTTTTACGTGGAGCCAGCATGGCCTGCTTTGGAGGACAATGGCCAAGATCTGAAACATAGTTGTAGATCTCTGACCCCACCAACACATCTGTATCCATAAAGTGACTGGGCAGCATTACTTTTGAGGGACAAATCCGGTAGGACACATGGACACTGGGAAAGGGCACAGTGTACTTTCCTGACCTCTGTCAAGTAGCACAGCTCCTGCAGGCACATAAAGGTGAATAAAACCCAGGAAAGAGGACCTGATGTGGGGACAGATGCAGTTCGATGGGGCAGGTAGGGGCTTACAAATACAGTTGGAGAGGGTTTGCTAGCAGAAGAGTGCACCCAACTTGCACTTCACCCTGCATTTTCATCCACCTACACCATGACAGAGATTTCATGATGGTTTTGAAGAGAAAGATCCTCTGTGGCCCAAGAGTAGGATGCTATGTGGGAAGCAGAGCTCATCATGGCTACATGGGATCCATCACGGCAGAAAAGATGTAGATTTCATGAGCATGCAAGCTTCCTCCCTGCAACGCTCAGTGGTTTAGGTAAGGTTACTAGTTTGAGCATGTGGTTGGGACAACAGAGGTCCTGCATTTTTGCCAATACAGACAGACTGCTGATGCTCTTCACAGCTGTCCTCCTTGTTCTGATCTTACAGTTGCCCAGACTGGGGACTTGTCATAGATCCCACCATAGATCCCACAAACATATGTGCATGTACATGTCAGGAAAAAAGTGGGAGAGAACCAGGGCCCTGCATGGATTTTGTCCTGACATGAAGTGATGACTTGGCCAGGACATACCCCTAAGCCCAGAAACTGTCAAACATTCCCAGGTTCTTCAGTTTACACATAGCTCTGGTGACCAACTTCAAAAATACATGTGAAGAAGGGTTTCAAATCTACTTAACACTTTCACCCTCCAGAACTCTCACATTCAGTGGCGAACCAGCTCTTTCACAAGCCACAGGCTGCACTGACAGACCTACAAATATCTCTGGTTATCTCACAGGTCTTGACAGTTCTCCCGTGCGTGCACAGCTTGTCTATACAAGCGTAACAAGTCCGATGCATCCCGGCTACATCCAGCCAACTGCGCACACAGTGGAGCTGGCAAGTGCCGGGGCAGCAAACGAAATACAGAGAGAAGGCAGCGGGCAGGCTGCAAAACAGCTATTTCCAGACCCATGGTCATTTCAGAGTCTCAAAGCTCACTGCTCAAAGCATTCGGGCTGTCAGGTCTGCATCAAAGACAGAACAAAACACTCAGTACTATTTATTACCCTCTTAAAATAAATGGTTTTCATGATTACAGTCATTTAGGAAATCCCTGCAGCTTGGGGAGTGGGGAAGCACGCTCTGGATACGGTTTGTTTTTGGATCCTGAGGTAATGGAGACACTGTAAATAGACGACTGATAAGAATCTGTCACCAGATTAATCAGGATCTTTGCAAGCTGTAACTTAAAACACCTCCCATGCTTAACCACTAGAATTTAAAGGGGCAATGCTCTTATACAGATATAATATTAATTTCAGTCACATTTTGCATTCATTCAATTACTGTCAACTAATTGATGAGTTGGTTCACCAGTATAACAAATAGTCCTGTACATTATTTGTTACATTTCAGTTAAGTAATATTCCACATCTAATCACTGCTTAGTTTATGAATCTGGTATCTCTTCAGAATGCTTATCTACATTAGGAAAAAAAAACCCACTGTTGAAGTGTCTTTAATTTGAAAATGGTATGTCAACATAGTGTTAGAATTTAATATAAAATAAATTTCTTTAAATATAAAAGATTTTATGTATATTATTATATGTTCTTCCCAAACTAAATTTTTACTGTCACCATAATCTAAGCAAAAGCTTAGGTATGTTTTATTTTACATTTCTTATCCACACACATAAATTCTGCCTTCCCCTTCTGTGGCCTGAGGTAGTTGCCTTGGTCAAGAAGGGGAGGGAAAAAACAGTTAATTGCAATTAACCTACAACCTTCTGTGCCTCTGAAGAATAAAAGTCCTCCTGTACAAACAGTGCAGTTTCTGTCACGACTGCAATAAACGAGGCCACTGGGTTCAATCCTCAAGTTTCCTTGACCTACTAAATTTACAGTACTTTCAATGTTTGCTCCTTTCAGCCTGCTAACTCACTGTTGCAAAAAAAAGGAAACACATATTAATAGTTCTGCTGTTCCACAGCCTTTATGAGAAATTAGTGAGCAGAAAAAGCAGCATTATAATCAGAAATGGAACCAAGCAAAATAAAAGTTCAGATCCACATCTGTATGTTTTACAGCCGTGCTCCTGATTCAAGCCCGGCTCTAATTACAGTAGAAGCTCATTCCTCTCCTTCTGGAGAGGACTTGCACACTGGGGCTCACAGGGTCATTCCTCAGTCCCTTCGCTACTTCAGCTGGGTAACCCGGTGCAGGGGTTATACACAGATGCTTCAAGAATTGTTAGTCTCCAGAATGAGTTCACAGACTTATCAGAAGAGGGAGAAGCACCTTTCATTCCCCTCTATTCCTCTGTCAGTGAATTCCTACGTGCACAGAAATGAGGCACTCTGTGGATGTATCTTATTTATTTGATAACATTGTATGTTCCTGATCATGTCCTCCACCTAAAGTCTGGTACGGCACGTAACCCCAAGGTCTTGCTGAGTATCGTTAGGAACCTCGTTATGAAGGAAGTGGGCATCAATAGTGTAACATGGATATGGGTGAAAAAAGGGAGATCAGGCGATTATTTCCTATTGGCTGGGCTATAAATGGCCACAGAATCACATAATGAATAAACAACCCGGGTTGTAAGGGACACTCCAAAGTCATTTGGTCCAACCACATGCTCAAAGGAGGGCTGACTTTAAAGTCAGACCCAGGCCATCACGCCATGAGTCACTGGCTGCAGAAAACGACGGGGAACTCAACACCGGTGCGTGTTGCACTGTGACACAGAGCAAAATGCCCTCTGCAGTTCAAAGCCTAACAAAACGTGAGAAGCGCAGGGTAGATTTACTCCAAGGGGATGCAGAGATGACAGGAGCTCCAAGGCCCTCAGCAGCGCTGCTGGGAAGGGGCACGCTTTACCTCTCACGACAGCTGAGACACTGTGTGGCTGCAGAGAGCCCTTCCTGCCCCCTCCCCGGGTGCTGTCACTGACGTACCCAGCTCTGCTAGCTAGCACAAAATACACTTACAGTCAAAAAAACCCAACACACAGGACACTTTAAAGATAACTTATTTTCTATTGGGCTGTCGGAGGGGAAAAAATACTTTGTTTTTCCTCTTCTGTTTTGCACCCACGCAAGGGGCCGCCGTTACCAGTGAAAAGGAACGGGTCGTTCGTGCCACGGGAAGCACTGGTGTGCTGGCTGCAGGCACCAGCGTGCGGTGGGTCCGCTGAGCCACCAGCAGACCCGCCGTGCCCTTTCCATCACATCCTGGATGCAGCATGTCCAAATCAGTATTTTCATGCACACGGCCACAATTTTTTCCATGTACAGTTTAGCCGCATGTCTTTGGTTTAGAAGCCCTTTAAGTATTTGATCATAGGATGTCAAGGACATTTGACTTAAGAAGTGGAGGAAACTAGAAACCACACAAATGCGATGAATAGAAGCTAGGTAAAGAGATGGCACGTTTATGAACTCGGTCAAAGTGGATGCATATGTTACTTTATTTAGGCCCATATCAGAGAAAGAAACCCATGCAATCTGTAGCTCTTTACTTATATTAAAGTACTAACCCCTCCCGTTTCATGGCATATTTCTATTTTTATGCTACTGAAATCATCAGCTGTAAGTTTCCATGCAAACTTCTTCCCAGCCCCAGAAAACCTTATACTGGCCAGACTGCGATATCAAACCCACCTTAACTTTTCTAAAAGATAATTATCAGATGAGATATTATCAAGTATTAGTGATACTCAGAAGAAACACCTGAGCTTTCATAAAAAGCTATGCTCCTAATGCCTGAATGACTCATATTTGCCACTAGAACAATACAAAGTCATTAAGGAAGGTTGGCCTTTAAAAATGTTACTTGGAAGCAGAGCAAATAGTTTGAGTATATCAAACTCTTTCTAAAGTTGAGGTTGTTACAGTATAAACAGCATCAAGCGAGAGGCTGTGCTCTCTCTTTACTGAAGCCCAGGAGTGAAAAACCAGGACTGAAAATATTTTCATCTGTTGGAAGTGGGAAGAATAATATTATTTTATACATAATGATGTATACAGAGAGCATTGTAACGCACAGGCACACATATCAAGATACTAAACTGAAGGGTTATATCACCATAGGACTAGATTCTGCAAATTTTACACTCACCCAATCCTTACTGTGCTTGTAATCCAGCAGGAGTTTGCCTTAACGATATATGCATTGTCTTTATTGAATGGTACTTAGTGGCTGCTCACATGACTAAATGTAAGACGCAGTTTCACAATATATTGGCGTCGGAAGTGAAGCCAGTTCATGAAGTTCTCAGCCACCACTCCCACTCCCTCCCAGCCACCACTGCCCCTACATCGCTGTGGGCCACCCCTCAGCCATGCCATTACGACCAGTTGTAGGGTCACATGAGGACACAGATCACCAAACTCATCCGAGTTAAAAATAACCCCACTGAAAATACAAGGGATTATTTTTAACTTGGAACATTTCAAAGATATGGTTTACGGTGTGATGCCACGAACAGTTTTAGTGACACAGCTGGTGTGGTGGCAAGCTGAGAGAATGGGATGGAAGCGGGAGGGGAGAGGCCGGAAATCCTCAAGCCAGCATTGCTGCCATGCACCATGGAACGATGCCATATGGCAAAGTTTGCAAAATCTGGTCCTCTCTGCAGTTTCCTTTGGCATTCTTACTTGGGTGCTATTATTACTGAAGTTTGGGGTACTTACGCCATGATGCCCGAGAGATGAAACATTTCAGCTGTTATGTATGACAAGTAACTGTACAGGAAGACAAAGAGTGGCTCAATCACTCGGATTTTATGGGTGAAACGGGTGGTAAAGGCTGCTACAAATCCCAAAAGGATTCCAATCAATACTCCACCGATCCCCACTATAAAGAAGTTAGCAATCCCAGCGAATATGTCAATAACCTTAATTGTGCGCATCTGGCAGAAAGACTTGAACAAATTGTACAGGACCTATGAGGAAAAAGAAAGCACATTATGTTTCTGAACTCTTCATTTCCCTTCGTGTCATTATGTTCCCTTGCTTCAATGCTGAACTTTGAATTTCTCTGTCTACCTTGAACTCACGTTAGAGATACGCTGTTGTTTACCTCTGGAATATTACTTGTCATCCATAAATATCAAGGAGATAGACAAAGAAGGGTAAATATCACTATTTCCATTTTTGCAAATGGGACAGGTTGCTTAACTCATGCCATTCTGCAGGCCAGGAGCAGAGTTCTATCTAATCTTTCTTCAAATTCATTTATTTGCAGAGCTTCTAATTTCTCCACAAATGGTCATTTCATATTTTCCCCAGAATCAAAGAAAAAAAAAAAAAAGAGGAGGAAAAAATACGGTTTCATAATCAGTGAAAAATCACATTATTTTCAAATGTGTTTGATCTACGTAAGACACCTAGAGCTGCAGTACTGAATTGGACCATAGATCCATCTGGCATGGGGTGGGAGGGCAGAGGATGGGCAGTGACCACTCCAAGGAGTACAAGAAACATGGCATCCATGGAGTGTTCTTTCTCTGACTTATTAACTGTTAGGAATCCACTGGTTTAAGGACTTTTCAAACTTTAGATTATTTCTAGAGATTTGGATTTAATTCCCATTAAAAGACTTGCTACCATGTGTTTGTCCAGTTTAATTTTCAAAGTGTTTATAACCACCCTCCCAAACAATCTGGGTCAATGGAATTATCACATTTTCTTAGCCAGAGAACCTTCTTGTTTTACACAGGAAACAGCACGATTTAAAGTCCACAATTCTCCAATATACAGTACTTTAGTTACTACAAAACAGACAACAATGGAATCGGTTACTCTTAAGGAAACCTTAAAGGGTCTCCCCATTTGCAGGCTTAACTGGGAGATGTAAGCATTGCCCGGTGCTGCATGTATGCTCCCAGCCAGGTGACACCATGATGGCTACACAATCCCCTTGTAGAGACCTAAGCTTGGTCACAGGCACCTATTCCTATCACAGTGGGTTCAGAGGCTACACCTCCGTGGTCATAATAACTCATCTTGGACAGGTTGCAGGAGTTAAACCTCCTCCTTCTTTCTGGACTTCTTAGTAAATAAAACAGGTTTCTCTATCAGAAACGCTATTTGAGAGAACAATTTTTTTTTTTTTCAAGTACTTGCATTGTGCTAGCAATGTAGGTGTTTGAATAGTGAGTGACTGGGAGGGACTTGTCATGTTTGCAGTCTTGTTCTCTCTCACATGACAGAAAGTAAGTTGTTCAGCTCTTCTTGGCCAAAATCTGATAAGTCTTACAGAGGTAAAAGTTCTCCCTATAGACCAATACAAAGACAGCCTATTTCAGGTCCTTTGGGCTGAGGGAAAGGAAAGAACTGGAAAAGAAAAGAAAAAAATATATTCCAGAGCAAGCATGAAAAAAGAAGGTTAAATCAAACCTAGCACGGTCACCAGCAATTTTCATTACAAAGCAACAAACAGGACAAGAGCAGGAGCATGAACTATTTATTTGATAACAATGATGCCCTCAGGAGGAGTCCATCTGGCAGAAGTGTCCTTTTTCACCTAGATAAACCCCTTCCTCTTGCTGCTCTGAGGCAGACTCCCAGAGTTTTTGCCCTGTTCCTTGTTACTATGTCCTGTGCAAGACAGGAAAGTAGTATCATAGGCTCCACTGGTTTTCAACCCGTTTTGATTTGTGGACCTTACAGATTTGCATGAAAAGAACTATACCAGAACTAAACCTATTGAAAAGAGATGTGCCTTTGTCAGTCAGTTTTTACAAGGACCTCTCAATCTACAGACTCCCAGGACTCCATGAATCACGGACTGAAATAAAAATACTGTTGACTTGTGTTGTTTGCAAGAAGAGGAGTTTCCCAGAGTCACTTGTTGAAACTTGGGACTACCCCAGATTTGTGTTATTCTTCAAGACACCTACAGAATTTGACCTGGCAGAATACTCCCTTGGGATGTATTAGGGAAGATTATTTTCTTTAACTGGAGTTTTAAATAGCCTTTTTTATATTTTAAAAAGTAACTATATAAATATATATATGTATGTATAAGGCAAGTCTCTAAAGTAAGGACACTGAAAGCTGCTTGTAAAGAAGCACGTAACTTTGATCTGCTCAAGCAATAGCCTTTCCGTAACATCACCTCATCCTCACAGTGAAGAATTCACCCGGCTAACAGAATGGAGCCTGTTGTTTCCACATACAGACATCCCCATAAATCTCAAGTCTGTTGCCGTAAGTTATTTGAAAGAAGAAAAGCAATGTTCTCCTTTGTACCTCAGATCAAAACCAGACCGCCGTGGTAGAAGCAGCAGCTAGGAATACGCAATGTCATGAACACGATTTTAATCTCGTTCCTATTGTTCTTTATTTACGCTGCTGCAAATGAGATCAAAATCAGGTTCACTTCCCTTTTAATCTACAGCAGTTCAGTTTTACAGCTCTCTCCAAGCTTTCAGGTGAGTTAAACAACATCAACTCTGGTCACATTTTGTAATCATTTGGTATGAGAATGCATTTTTTTTTTCAAGTTCAAGATTTGCATTTACTCAACATCCTTCAGCTGAACTTGCTGAAGGTTACACCACGGAACGTAAGTCACCAATCACTTTTTAATCGTGTCTCAGAGTATCTCTGCTCTTCCTAGACACTAGTTGCTTGTTTTTATCAGTTCTCAGTTACTAGTTTTTAATTCTGAAATTACTTTAAAGTGTTCTAAAATAATGTTTTCAGTAGAAGCAGAATACAGGGCACGGCTGTAATGTTTTCTAACACAGGAATAATATTATTGTGATGACACTGGCTCCTTCTTTGTGATTTTAAGCCCAGAATTGGAATTTGAACTGCTAATACTCAAGCTCAGCTGTGATCTTGCCATTTAATATCACTGAGCTAGTTATCACTGACCCAGTCTTTCGGTAAAGCACTGACTCTGAACAAGAAGACAACCGGCAAACGTTGTCCTCAGCCAAATTCAAGCTTCAAAATTCCATCAGTGGGAGGAAAGGATCATCCAAATGCACGAGCATATCACAAAAACTAGCAGGCATGAAAGACCATCTGAGAAACACAGCAGAGCTGAGATTCCTGAGAAAGCACACCTTGCTTTGTATCCAAAATGAAGGTGTGGTGGCAAGTTTTGTGAAAAGGGAAAGCACAGATGACACTGCTATCCTAATAAAAGCTTTTATTAGGAGCAGCCAGGCAGTGCAAGTGGGATAGCAGGAAGAAAGGCTTAAAGTATTTAGAAAGTATGTTTACTAAAGCCACGCCATTCTGCACTGCCCATCTGTGTAGCCACTGAGGTTTTTTTCATACTGCAGTGGCCATAGGAATTAGGCAGCTTCTGGGAACGGCCAGCCTGCCTCCAGCTCCCCTCCTGCTTCGTCCCTGCATCCCACCGGAGGCACCTGCCAGGGTTGGTGGGACTCAAGGGCTCCAGCAGAGGAAAGGTGGAAGGTTCTGAGCTCTGCCTGCTGGTTGGCTTTGTTAGCTCTCTCGGTAACACAACGAGGACAGAGGATGAGAGAGTCACCTTTGAGCAGATAGCAGGGTAACTGTGGCAGCACCACGGCGAGGACTGGTCCAGCAGCACCGCCACGGACAGGGGAGGTGAGGTCCTCTAAGGACACCCCACGGGGGATCTGTGTGGCGGCCTGGGTCACATTTGAAGTATAATCACATGATTGCAGGTGTGCAAAATCATAACAAGGAACCATTAGCAGAGTCTGTGGAAACCACTTGATCTCCTGCCAAGTGCTCCCGTTGAGCGATAGCTGGGAAGTAAGACCCAAGGTACTCTAAATTCCTTTCACCCCTTCATGAATATATGTATGGCCAGTTTGTATGCTGGGCTGGCCCTACAGACTCCTCAGAGTATCTCCCCTGTGTTAGGGCACCTGGGCAGCCATGCCGTGAGAAAGGACTACCTCCAAAGAAGACGATAATGACGCCTACAGGAAAGTCATGCATCACGGTTATTAAACTGCCATGCCAGCGCCTATAAAAAGGATGTTTTGGGAGTAATTTGCCATCGGGCAGTGGCATGTGTGAATACTTCCGTCATCAGGACGCAGTGTTTTCCTAGCAAATCTTGCTGGATTGACTGCTGCTCCAATTGAAAGGTGACTGATTTTTTAATTAAAAAAATGAGATTTTGGTTGGAAAAATCCCCCCCCCCCCAAAAAAAAAAAAGTTTAGCATCAACATAAAAACAGACCTTTTTCTCCCAAAAAACTTGTGTGAAAATTCTACTGCATGAGTGGCCATTAAGAGTAAACATACAGACACAGCCATGGCTGAACTGCTAAGCCTTTTGAAATTCAGTATTTCCACCCACTTATTTTCTGGCTTAAGCACCAGTTTAGCAATGGCAGGCAGTTTCAGCTGTGAGCTAGTGAGAAAAGCCAGTCTTTAAGGCAAGCCTGTAAGAGAGGATGCGATTCAGCTGGCTGGATGGCAACAAAATCAGGAAAAGCATGAAGTGTAAATGGAAAGAAACAACCAGTACTCCCATGGACACCCAAGAAACGATCAGTACCAAATGATCAGATTAAATGATGAGATATACATGTGTTAAGCAGGTGAGGCAAAGTCCTAGAAAAGGGGAAAACGAAAGGACAATTGTGCACAGTGGGACAGAAATAAGAAGCCAGTGACAGAGACAGGGAAGGTGCGGACCCAATTCATGAATCTTTCTGATTCTTCTGGCATATGAAAAACTGGACCTCCATATCTCACAAACAGAAAGTATGCTGGGACATAGGTGGCACAGGCAGGATTTTGATTATGGCACGGATGAATGGGAGTAATGTCCCAGCCATGGTGTCACCAGGTACAAATGAGTGGCATCGGGGGTGTTAATGGAATTTGCAGATCGCTGTCCTCAGGTCAGCACCACAAATGCAGTTCAGCTAGTTAATGATTAGAAATTACTGCCTCCAGATGGTCGTCCTATCTCATCTGTGGGAGAAATGTATTGGTGGTCTCAGAGCAGTTCCAGCTGGGTGGGCACATGCGACAGGCTAGCATCAACCAGGCACCGTACCATCTCAACGACTTGCCCGTTCTCCCTGTCAACATGCTGGGTCACCCCACATTGGACCTTCTCCCTCTCCTGTCCAACAACATTTCTGCAGGTGAGGAAAACCTCCAGTATCAGATTACAGAAGTAACAGAATTCAAAGATACAGAAACTAAAGAGATCGGGTAGTAAAATCGCTAGAGCAAATATGCTACCATTACACGTTACTCTGGTGTAGTAAGACCGCTGTAGTTTCTAAATCTAAAGTTTAGAGAATGACATAAACATATTAGCACTCCTGGACTTCCATCTATTAGCAAACTGTAATAACCAGATACAAAAAGATCTAACGGAGTGGCATGCAAACAATCATTTATCGTTTTTATCAACTAATGATTTATCAAGGAACTTACCACAGTTATAGCATCATTCAGCAAAGACTCTCCAAACACCAGGATGTAAAGCTGCTCATTGACATGAATATTTTCAAAAACGGCTAACACCGCCACAGGATCCACGGCTGAAATGAGGCTGCCGAAGAGCAAATTCTGCAGCAACGTGATATCAGTCAAACCAAATGCACTGATCTGGCAAATTCCATAAAGTGAAATTCCAATGCCGATGGCGTTCCAGAGCGTGCCCACCACGGCATACCAGAATATGGTACCAAAGTTCTCAAAGAAAAGACGAGTTGGCATAAAATATCCAGCGTCGAGTACAATGGGTGGTAAAAGATACAAGAAAAAAACATCACTGTTCATTACAGGTGGGGACTTCTCCTCTGCTCCAAAAATAATCCCACCAAGAAGCAATCCAACCAGAATGAGGAGACAGCTTTCAGGCACTATTGAGGGCAACTTGTGATACAGATGAAAGCCTTCAAAGGAAATTCAGACACAAGAAAGTAAGATGGTTATTTGTACAGAATCCAAGAGATTATTCTGGATTCTGTAATCTTAGTTTCTACAGTAAATAAACAGTAATTGCAGGGAAATTTCTTTTTCATTGCAAAGGCTGAACTGGACCACCAAAACAGGTCAAGGCAAATCTGTCAGCTACGGTAGTTACTTCAGTTAAGTCGGTGGAGAGTCAATTTAGTAGCTAGATGTTCCAGTTAAAAGCTAGGCTGGTGGGAGCAACTGTGTACAGCAGTTCTGTTTGTGAAAGTGTGGGGATTTTTGTGATGTGGAATTCTCCAGAAACATGATGCAAACACCTTTTTCTAGAGGAAATTACATCTAGATAGAGAAAAAAAATATCTTACCAACCACCCCTTCCTCCATGCATAGCTTCACAAAAGAGTTTAAGGAGTACATTAATTTCATTTTTAGAAGTCTTTTAGAGTCTCAAAGCTAGGGAGGGGAAATAGCACATGTGACCTGCACCCAGCCACCCATGGTCACTTCCTCAGCCACCATGAGGAAGCATTTACAGTCACATTATTATTCATTTTTAGCAGACCCTCCAAATTAATTTCACAATAACCAACATGTTTTCCGTAAAGTGATAGTAAGTTATAGCCTGTATTCCTATGCTCGTCTTCTGTTTTATATGAATTGCAGTAGTGTCAGGAGTCTCTCATAAAGATCTGTGCAAAGTACTGAAAAAATAAATAAAAAAAGGTTCTGATTGAGGACTTAATGGTTAAATGTTCCTTAGCCTACTAAAACTCTCAAAGCCACGCAGTTTTGATTTAAAGATTCCCGTTACTTGCATGAGTTGACTGTTTTAAGGATGACTTTGGGTAATGAATGGGAAAAGTTTTGAAGGAACTTACTCTGGCCAATCTAATTGAACGATCAACCTTATGCACCAAGGTCACATTCCAGGTCCCGGCGATGCCTATCTTTTCCAGGCTCCTCCTTATCTATATTTGGCCTACATAATTATACAGAAAACTATCCACACCCACAAGATCCCACAACTCCTGCGTAACTAAAAAGCATTTAAATTATTTTAAATGAGAGCTGCATGGAAACACTGGGTGTGGTAATAACGGGCGTCTATTTCAGTAAAACTATTTCAGTAAAAATCACACCTGTAGTCGAAACAGTTAAATTAGTGCAAGCTTGGTACAGTTCACATCCAGTTTCCCAATTTCAGGCTTCTGTATCTTGAAACACCTATTTTGTTAGTTCTCCTTTCATTATAGATTTTTTCCAGGTAAAAGAAAGTCTGAACTTATAATTAGGAAAAACAAATGGTTAAGAAGGACCAAAGGGAAAGCCGTTTTAATCTACAGACTTTTTACTTACATATTCTGTAACTATTAAAGCTAATTTTTAAAGTAAGCAGCTGAAGCTGCATTTTTTTTCCTTTCTGGATGAACACGGATTGCTTTTTAATATTTAGAAACACAGCCTATGTGACTCATTAGAAGGACTGCCAAATTCATGGTCATTCTTCAAAACCAGAGTCACCAATATTCTATATTGGCAGAATAGGTAATGACCCTGGAAACCCAAGAATTTGTGGTTGAAGACTTGACCTTTCAGCCACTTGCACATAAACATTTTATGGTTTGTCTTAGTTTCTACAGTGGCAGGATGCCAAAATTTCCAATATAGTGATTGAAATTTCCCCCGAGTAAGTAGATTTTGCTAAAAGAAAAGGTTTTTTAAGCCCTTCAAAAGTATCTTAAATCATTTTCTCAATAAAAATTGAAGAGGAGGGAATTTTTGTAAACGCAGCTTTTAATGAAAACAAAAATCATCCTGACCAGTTGTAATGCAATGGCAATGAAAAGTCTATTGTTAATATAAAAATAGAAAACTTTTCCTTTTCTTCTTTGTAAGTCATTCTTTGGAAAGTTCATACGCTCTCAGAGTTTTTTGGGACTTCGCCTCATCCTTAAAGGTAACAGAAAGGCTTCCACTGAGTTAAATGTGCTTTGTAGCCACATAAACAGCATCAAAACTCTTTTAAGACTGCCTGCCTCCATGAAAGGCGTTCAAAGGTGACCAGGGACAGGCTGTGGTTCCCCATTTAAGGGCAGAGAGCTAGGATTTAGGATCCAGCGCACATCAGTTCAGGCGCAGGTGCCTTGCAGGATGAGGGACATTTTCCCTGCTCTGCCAGACCCACAGCCACGTGGTCAGGAGTGCCCTGGGAGCAGATCCCCTGCAGTACATGAATACTGAGACTTTTATGCTGAACCCAGGACCACAGCTACTTCCTCCTCCTCTGACCCTGTTCTTGGGCTCCTGACTATGCAGTGACCCAACTTCAAGAGGATGGAAGACGTTTGCCCTCAGGCCATTGGGCATTAGAACACTTGCCTGATGTGCAAGGTCAGTATTTTGCAAGCTAAAAGTCCTTAGAGTCCTGGTTTCCTACTTCTTGGGTGACATCCAGTGCACTATGATGCTGGAAATGCCACTGAGACAGTGTACTTCTGATTATACGGGAGTTTTCCAAGGGCCTTCTGAACAGCTTAAATCTTTTTTCAGGAGAGAAGTGTTGGAAGGATATCAGCCCAGTTCCCAGAAAAAGCACTTCTAATTGTGCATTTGTGATTAAACATAGGAGTAATGGGAATCTGGATCAGTCAGACAACTTTTGGCAGGTTTAGTAGCAGAAGAATTAAGCAAAACTGGGAGGTAAAGTAGACTAGTCTCACTGCCTAGAGACTGCAGCGTACTTCTGGTGCACTGGCTCCCACCTAATGTACTCGTGGAGTCCATCAGCGTGTTAGTAACATACCTCCTATACGGTATCACCACACAAGATAATAAGTAGAGGTAGCCAGAAAATAACAATTCCATTCAAGGCAATTTCTTAAATTTCCAAATGTGCCCTTGTTCTACGCTGGAATAAAAAGCACTATGTTTCTAATGTCTTTGTGAAAATATACCTTGCCAAAATGTTCAAGTGCTGCTCGACAACTTCAGGTTTTCCTTTTTCGTGATGTCTCTTTTGCTCTCTCTAAACCTAGCCTATAGCTTCACAATCACAGCCGGGACCTGAGAAACCTTTCAGATGAATCCCCTATAAAAATCAGCACATTCTGGAACATTTCAGCTCCAGTGAAACTGCACTTCTGTGAAAACACATTTGTTCAAAAAGCCTCCCGTCAGGTGCTAAGCAGGTGCTGCAATACAGTTGTTTTTGGGATCCTTCACACAGTGTGAGAGCTGTTATTAAATGCGACCCTATCTTCTGAGCTCCTTGCAGCTCAAAAGACCTTAGGGCTCCGGTCCTAAAGGTTTGCTGCTCAGCAGTGCCAAGCGTAAGCATTCAGCGCCTAGCCCCAGAAAGGAATTTGCGATGCCAGATTAAGCACCGAAGTTTCCTGGGCAGTGCAGGAGTCTGGAGGTGGATTTCACACTGCCCAGCAGGACAGGGGCGAGATGCCTGTGCTGCCCAGCAGGGAACACCTGGGGAGAGGAATGGACCTGAGAGCCTCCTCGGGGCTACAGGCAGTGAGACGGGCTGGAAAACCCCTCTCCATCCCTTTGAACTGAGACACAGGGCCCACTCTTAGTAACGCCATGGGATGTGGCAGAGCAAACATTTCTGTGTCTCGGTGGTTGAAGAAAGATGACATTTCTGTATCTCGGTGTTTAGAGAACTCTGCTCACCAGGACTACCTTCAACATAAAAGAAGGCACAAGCGAGTGAAAAATCGCCGCTGTGGGAATGTGACTTAGGAGCGACAGGAGTCTGTCCCGGGAAGGTTTACCTGATGCGCTCGCTGGATAAGGAAGCACAGACGGAGCACCAGGAGCAAGAACTGGATGTTCTTAATTCCAGTCCCGGAGTCAGGGCACCTGCAGATAGGTGTGGTGAAGCTGAGCACTACCACACCTACGGCCTCTCCTGGGTCCGGCCCTCATTGCTTAGCGCACGCACACTTAGAACAGCAGCGGTAGTGCCCTAGATTAGCCACACCAGCTTTCATTTGGTATAACTGAAGGGATTTAAAAATTATACACATTTTTTTCCTCATCTATGCTCTTTGATTGTTTAGCGCACTGCAGTCAGATTGGAAAATTAGTCAAGTCATTTGTTGTTTTTTTTTACTTTTTAGATGCCTATGCACTCACAAAATATGATTGTCAGAATGTACAGTCCTACAGAAATTACGTATTATTGTGTATGTATGTGTGTTTACAGGTTTCAAATGGCTTCCCTGTAATCTTTAATAAAACAGAAACTTCTTCCTGAGTCTTAGCTTACTCAAGAGTTCTTGCTGTAGCTAAACTCAGAAGCCAGAGCAATTTTACAATACTCAACTGGCTGAGATAAGTTCTTTACCAGACTCCATCTTTTCTGGCTATTACAATTCATGATACATTTCAGTGTATCCTACTTGAACTCTGTCCTGATGCTGCAAACACCCAAATACGTACTCAAGATTAAGCATGCATCTTCAATGCATTAAGAAACGTGCATCAAGATACATGCATCCTTAGTGGATGCAACATACAATATTTCTGCAGAAATGAAGCCACAGCAAGTTGCTTGGGTAGAGGATCATGCCCCTGACTACAACACTAGTTGTGGCAGGAGGTGAGTACAAATTTTTGGGTTTGCAGAATCCTAATTACCTGACCACTAACCAGAATGTGACACAGTCTATTTAAATGTCCCAAGCAGAAGTCAAAGTTTTAAGTTTTATGAAAATGAGTATGATCATAGCTTTTATTGTAAATCTGAGCAGAGAAATCAAGACTTTTGAATCAAACAAGTGGAGCATGAACAAACTTTTTTTTTTTTTTTTTGTTCCCTTCCATTATCTTCTAGTTAAGAAGATACAAAGTTCATCATTTGTGGAGATCTACTGATTTTTAAATAGCTCTCTAGCACACCTTCACCTGACATTCCTTAGACTATCATAGTGTACTCATTCTTCTGTTTGGGACACAGAGAGCTAATTAAAAACATTATATATAAGCTGCACAAAACACAGTGAAACTATGCAATACAAATATTTTCCACATGAGGGAAGAGGTGGCCTTTCTTACTCATTCAGTGCCGTCTTTTCTGTCTTTCTCGGGAAGAAAGTGAATGGTGGGAAAGTACAATGAGGAGGCTCACTCTGCCCTCATAAATAATTGCTTTCCATCGATCCGTCATTATAGCGGGCGTTATTTTAAGAGAAAGAAGCCAGTGCTCAAATGACAGCGGGGGGATGAGCGACAAGTCAGTCGCGCACTGGGTGAACTCCGGGTTTTTCAGTCCTCGCAGCCCGGGGTTAGCGCGGGGGCTGGAGGTGAGCTCTCTTCTCCTCCGCACACGCTCCGAACCGAGAAAACCCCGTCTTTTGCCGCCCGTATCAGGCCCGGCCATCCCGCCCCGCCAAGGAGCATC